AATTATTTACTTTGAAATAGTTCAAAAACTAAAAAGAAACGATTAATGATAAGTTTTCGTGAAATTTTATAGTTGAAAATCAAATCATAGTGTTTAGAATTATTATTATTATTATTATTATTATTATGAAATTTTATCGCTTCTTTTTTTATAAATCATAAAACGTCACTTTGGAAACATTTATTTAAACGATAGGCATGATGATGAACTTATGCAATATATACAAACTTTTATTACTCTCATTGATATCGTAAGTTCAATTAGCTATAATTTAGTTTTATTTCATTTCGATCGATTTTGGATAAGAAAGGTCATGCTATCATTTTATCATATTTCCTTTCTGCATTCTTTTTCTTCCTTTTATCTTTAAAATTCTATATTTTTAAATTGAAATAAATTATTTCAACTTATGATATTACAGAATCTAAATACTGTATTACTTTCTTCCTTTTTAAACTCAGTTTTTTTTCGCTCTTCAAATTTTCAACTAAAGTCAAATAAGAAAATTTTAGCAGAAATTTGCAAAATCTTTGCATAGGATTCGATCTCTTTTATTATTGTGCAAGAAATCTTTTAAGACAAATAGAATAATCATAAATAAAAACGTTGACATAATACATTTCGTTTCAAATGTCATTTCTAACAAATTGAAAAGGAAATAAGAAAAATTGAAAAACTTAAAAAATAAATTTTTAATTTTATCTTCGATTATTTCTTTGCTTTTTTGCACGATTATATAATTGTTGAGAATCGTTTAGGAATTCTAGTTACCAGCTACAAATGCATGGATCAAATATAACTATCAATTTGATAATTTTAAAATGGTAGTCAAATTTTTCCTTTTCCTTTCTGCAATAAAGATATTTTATTGGAATTATTAATTTGATTTAATTAGTGTTAAATTATTAAAGTGATAATGAATTGATAAACTTTAATTTCACCTCTGTAAATTATTAATAGTTTAAATCGCCTTTTCGATCATTTTTTTTTGTTCTTTTTTTTCTTGCGAAATTAAATTAAATTAAATTACACAAATTAAAATTAAAATTAAATTACTCAACTAAACTATCTCTTTCTTGCTTTACTTTTTTTCATTTTCCCTTTTTTTTTTGCAGAATTTTTATTAACTTAGACAATGATTGAATTCAATAGTTAATTAATTGGTGGACAATATTATTGGCTTAAATAATCTGAATGATTATTATAATGATTAATCGAAATTTAGGCCAGATTAATTTTCGTCTTTCCTCATGATACAATACAACTAACTTTATCTTCTTCAATTTCTTTCCTTCTCTTCCTCTCTCTTTCTCTCTCTCTCTTTTTTTTAAAAAAAAAAATAAATGAAATTGCATTTATCTACGACAGATGTGAAAATACCAATAATGGATCTATCGGGGTGGGTATATTTGAAGTGGATGAAAATGTGAAATAATTGGTAGTTGAAAGAGAAAGGGAAAAGGGGTTAAGGAAATGGATAGCAATGATAGGAAGCAGATTATGAGAATAAAATTGATTCAGTTTTTAGTAGTACATTAACCAGTTTCGAAAAATTGCTTTTAATTTTTTTATTTCCATTTTAGAAAATTCTTGAAAATCCGGAAAAAAAAAAGGAAGAAGAAGGAAGGAAGAAAATTGAGGATTGAAATCGTTTAGTTCGTTGGTGAGAAGGAATGGATCGGTCCGTCCGATTTGCATTTTAATTTTATTGGTAAGGAAGAAAAAAACGGAAAAATGGAAAGAAGAAGAAAGAGAGAGAGAGAGAGAGAGAGAGAAAAGGCTACTACTTTTATATTATTATTCAATTCTTTCATTATTTATTTATTTATTTTCTTTTAGGTTTATTTTCATTTTCATTTTTCTTCTTTTAATATTTTTGGTTTTTGTTTTATCAAATAGATATTAATGCCACTCCTCCCCATTTTTAGCAGAAGCATTCATTTCACTGAAACTATTCTATCAGTAACTATTTGAGCATTATTTCGTTCCTCAATTTCATCCTTTTCCTTTTCCTCTTCCTTCTCCATCATTTTCATCCATTCCTCTTCTTCCTTCGCCATCATTTTCATCTATTCCTCTTCCTCTTTCCTTTTCCTTCTCCATCATTTTCATCCATTTCATCATTTTTATCAAATTTTATTTGCAACAATTTATCTCTTTTCTATTTTCAATAATTTCATTAAATTTGACAACAAAAACGAATTTTTTTCTCTTACCTAAAATAATTTTATCAATTAGGTTAATTATATTTTTTGTCACTTCCGTTGATGATATAGTGATAAAAGAATGTTATGAATATGATTCGATCATATTGCTATAATTTTCACTCGATAACATTCTTTTTTTAATTTTATTTTACTGTATCCATTTCTTCATTTTATATGTGGGATTACGGTATTTAATATTAAAAGCATAAAATTTTTCTGCTATACTTCAAATATCAAATTTTTTCATTGTAGTTATACCTTATCTTAAAATTCTTTTTCTTTAAAGTAAACTTTTAATTACTTTTTTACTCATTCATTAATTATTCTAATTAAATTTTCTTTTATTAAATTAAATTTTAATTTCTACAATAGCAGCATTATTATCATTGATATTGTAATATGGAAGAGATATCAATGAAATGTAAAAAGATCGATGAACTTACATCAACTCTCCTATCTCCTATTCAATATCATTGTAATTTATCATAAAAAACATTAAAATTAAAGAAAAAAAATGAAACATACGAGAAACAATGTTACAGTACCGCAGTATCTGTGCTGTTGTTATTTGCAAATTGAATAATTATACTGCTGTAAAACAGGTAAGTATAATACTACTAAAGGTAAGTATAAAGTATGAAATAAGAATATAAACCGTATAAATATTTAAAAATTCAGAAATTCAGAAATTTCATAAGTAATGAATAAAATACTAACCTTTTCATTTCTCTTTCTTTTCCATAATGTAAAATAAAAAGAAAGAAATAAATATGCAAATTAACCTGAAGCATGGCTATTAATTGTTTTTTCTTAATTAAGGCTTAAAATTTGCGCGTTTTTTTCTTCTGATTAAAATTCCATTAGATAAATGTTAGCTTTCCATTTCCCTAACAACGGATAACTTCAACTAATAGATTTTGTCAGTCAGTTTTAAGAAAAATAATTATAAAATGTTGATGTTTCTTATTTTTCATTTTTCCGTATCGAATATCACACACACACACACACACACACACACACACACATGCACACACACACACACACATACACACACATACATATACATAGGCTTTCGTTCATTTCAAACTATTGTCATTTTAACATTCACTTCTCTTTGTCATTTTTTAGTTTTTCTTCTTCAGACTTCTTCTTCCTACATGTGAACTGTTTTAAGTTTAGCTTAGCTTAGCTTAGAGCTTAGAAATTTGAATTATGAGCCTAAAGAGAGAGAGAGATAAGGCAAAAAAAAACAATAGATGTAACGAATTGAAAAAAACTTAGGCCTTTTTTTTAATCTTCAAATCATTTATCTTCTTTTTTATCAACTTCCTATTTTCTGTCATTTTGCGCAATAGCAATTAGCAAATATCCTCAAAAAATTCCTCTTATCAGTATTACATATGAGATTTATTTCTATTTCTTTGTTTTTTCTCTCTTTCTTATCAGTGTGATAATTTTTCATCATAAATTTTATTATATTCCTCTCCTACAAATCCATTTCACTTTTATTTATTTCCTATTCTTCAAATTTGATTGGATTTTTTTAAAAGTTGTCATGAAAATTTATAGTTTTATTGGAGAGATTTAATGTTTGTTGAGATATTACTTTGGCAGTTCATTAATTTTTTCACAATTATAAGATATTTCTTTTCTTATTGATAATAATAATAAAACAATTTACAGCAAATATATAATGAAGGAGATTGATTAAGTAGCTATCGTTGAATTTTTATCTTTCAACTGAACTCATTAATTAATTTAGGTAATTAATACCTCGGAAAGATTTTAAGTTATTATCGATTCATTATATTGCTTGATTAAAACTTTCTATGATATTATCGCGGTAATTATTGCATAACGATAAAACACTTGTGAAAAAATTTATCGTTATGCAATAATTACCGCGATAATATCATTTCAATAATCACCGCGACAATATCCGTTTCAAAAGTGTTGCAAAAAATAATAATGAATAATAATTATATGATATGAATAATTTAAGGTGAGAAAACTAAAAAGCTTTTGAAAGGAATAATACATAAATGGTTATTGGCATTTAATTTGTTCATGTTAACGAGAATATATACATTCCAGGCTTCGATAAGTTAACCTACTTTATAAAAAAATTCAATTTTATTATATTGTTCATATTCATCCCATTTTTTATAACTGCCATTTACAAGCACATCTCAACTCAACATATCTCTCATATCATCATCCCATTTTCAAGTATTCTTTCTCTCCCTCAATTTTATATTGCTAATATATTTTTCAATCTTAATTTCTAAATGGTTAAATGAAAATGAAATTATATATGCTATAATGATAATGGAATAAATTAATATATATTCAAGATTTTGATTGATAAAATTTTCTTCATTCTCCTCATTTATTCTTCGTATTTCATTCAAATTGAATATTTTAATCAAATAGAAACTGTTCCGGAAATTTTTCATAATTTTTCCTTTTTTCTTTTTGGAAAACATTTCCAATTAACAAAATGATAAATTTGGTTAAAGTGTGTAAATATCATTGTGTGATCAAAATTTTGGTGAATTATTTTGAAATTATTTCTTTTCTCTCTATTTGTTTTCCTGCTATTTTACCTTGTCAACCTTTTTTTTAGGCCTCTATTTCAATCATTTTAAATATGTGCAATTGCACTTCGTTTATATTTCTTCCGTTCCATAAATTTCAATGTTCGTAAATTTGCAAATTCCATTAAATTTCATTGTTTCTAACACTTTTCCGTATTTTTTTTAAGCGTAACAAAAAAAGAAAGCATTCCGTAAGATGGGAACAAACGGTATTCTTGATAATAAAACAAACGGTATTCTTGATATTGGCAAAAAACCGTTAACACGTTGGAGTTGTTCTGATGTGGATCAGGAAACGGTTAAGATGATTCTTGGTGAGCGATTACGCTTTCCGTATGCAAGCAACGTGATTGCGCCAAATCGAATAATGAAGAGTGCAATGAGTGAACAGGTAGGATAATCAATCAAATTTCTATATTCTTCAAATTTACTTTACTGATTCATTTATTTATTTAAAGTATAAGATAAATGATTTGGTTGATAGAATGCGATATACGATTAAACAAAATTTGCACAAATCAATTTTCTTTTTTAAAATAATAAGTAATTTGATTTAATCCAATTTCTCAGACATATTTATCATTTAATTTTAAGTGAAATTTGAACCGAAGGAAAAAAGATACAAAAGACTTTCTATCCTTTCATTTCTACCTGTTCAAGAAATTAATGATGAAGGATCTTGAGAAAGTCTTATTAATGAAAATTTTCGACATTTATCTTCCTTAAAAAAGTTGAAAAGTGATGGGAGGGGAAAGAAGTGATCCAAAATGTGTATTATTACTATTCCTTGTTATCATCCTTATCATTCACCCTTACTTTTACAATATTTGAAAATAAAATTTAACATTTTAATCATTCAATTAAGCCACCAAAATAATACATTGTTGGGATTTTCATATTTATTTCATTTATTCTTTTTTGTTTTTCTCTTATTTATTCAATGTTTTTTTTTATTTATTTATTGTTTTTATTTAGCTGGCAACATACCATAAAAATGATATGAAAAAGAGTGGTATACCAACACGCGAGTTGATTAATTTGTATGAAAAATTTGCTGACGGTGGTTTCGGAACTATCGTTACTGGCTGTATTATGATTAATGGGGTAATTTTGTTTCTTTGTTATCATTGATAAAGTGAAGAAAAAAATGAGGCGAGAAAGAGAGAGAGAGAAAGAGAGTTGATATGAACTGTTTATATCATGATAAGAAATGTTAATCGTTTTTCAAAAGAGTATTAACAACATTTTGTTTTTGTTGAAATTGTTGAAAAAAATTTTTGCAAAATGAAGAAAAAATTTTTTAAGTGTAAATTGCTAATTAATAATATAAGAAAAGATAACTTAACTTTCTTTCTTTTCCTCTATTTTTTTAATGCTATTTTTTGCAATTGCAATATTTTTTTTAGTCTAAGAATAATTAATCAAAAATTTCGCGAAAAAAAGTAATTTTGAAAATGGTCAATATTCGTAGCACACATAATTTATTTCAAATAATTTATTTTTAAAATAATTTAATTTCTAATTTTCTTTTCTCATCTTTTTTCTTACTTCCGTTCAAGATTTTTTCATGCTTTTGTTTCAAATTTTAATTGATAATTTGATACATTTTCTGTTTTTTTTTAATTTATTAATCACATTGAGTAAACATTTTTGTTTTTAATTTTAATGTAATATTCAGATATTTGGGAATAATTTTCATTCATTAGAAATATCAGTTTTTATTTTAATTTTCTCATAAAGTTTTTTGCATAGTTATTTTAGAAAGATATCGAAGCTCCGGGTAATGTAATTATCGATATGGAATCAGATTCTGATGAGCGTCGAAATGCATTTATGGAATGGACTGAATGCGCTAAAAGAAGTGGAAGTATCATTATCGCACAGCTGTTCCATGTTTGTTTTTATTTCTTACTTTCCCATTTCCTCTTTTTGTTTTAATTTAATTTTCCTTTTTTTTTGAAAAGTTCTCCATACTAAATTCAATTTTATGCAAACTAATCGATAAGTTATTGATAGTATAATGTTAGGAAAACATTAAAAAGCCGATAATTGCTTTCTTAAAGATATTGTACCGAGGCGTTTCTCTACTGGAATTGAAAAAAATCAATAAATTTCTTAAAGATATTATATTGGAGCATTCCTCTATCGGAATTGAAAAAAATAAATCAATAAATTTTGTTTATTTCATTAAATACATCATTATAATTTTAACATATAATAGCTCGCATTTAATTTGTCGAAAATTTTTACAATTATTTATATTATGTGCTATTTTTGATCAAAATAATAATATTAAATCATGCAGTTCATTTAAATTAAAATTAAAGAATTAAAATGTTACACTTTTTAAATTTGAAGAATATTTCTTTGATACGTTATCATTTAGCAAGAAAGAATATATATATATATATAGTACATTTTAAGTATTGAAGAGAAACTATATGATATCTATATGATACTCTCTATATAATACTATGTGATACTATAGAAACTATATACTTTAAATAATTATTGTTATATTAAATTTATTTCATGAAATTATTATAAATAATTTTATTCTATTTTAGGAAAACCGAAACTTTCATAATCATTTTTATCATTTTAAATTAGTTTGACGAAAAAGAATCATTTACGTAAATAAATTGTGTATAATTTTAAATGAAATATTTTACTAATTATTACTTCAATTGTGGTTTAATGCGAAATTAATTGCCAATGTGTGTTTTATAAAAACATAATGTCACTGAATCTGTCATTTATCATCGAAATATTACTAATTTTGAGAAAAAAAAGTGAATTTTAAAGTTTCACGATTTAAAATCAAAATTTTAACTTTCATTAAAATTAATAATAAAAGTAAGAAAAGGTGATATGATAAATGATTGAATGATAAATAAACTTAGCAAAAATCTTCCTTACCAGATGTAATCGATTGTTGTTAATAGTTTTTATAATTATTTCCTTGATGTTTTCTTGCATTGCATGGTAATTAATAAATAATGTTTATTACAAGATATAAAAGTTCAAAATAATTTCAATTTGGAATTTGATTTAAAAATTCCATTTTCATTTTTCAGTTTTCTCTTATTTTAGCCCGGAAAATGTGCTGCTGATTTACCACATAAAACGGATTTCGATATTAATAAATTGACACGGAAGCAAATTGGAGAACTAATTAATGATTACGCTTATGCTGCAAGATATGCTCAACAATGCGGTTGGTTTCCATCTAATAAAAATAGCTTCATTTTCTGGTTTCGGGAATGTTATTGTTGAATTTCGTCAGTTTCTCAAATAAAATTCTGCAATGAAATTGATTAGATATCATAAATTTGACTGAGTAACGTATCTTTTATTTGCTTGATACTGATAACATTTGATTGATATGCTACTATGATATGAATAATTAATATTGTTATTCCGATATCAAACTAAATTGGTCTTGATATCATATTCCTATTTATTCAAGCATTTAGATATATTTGATTTGAATATTAAGCTATATCGGTTTTTTTTTTTCCTGTCACGAAATTCTTATTATTTTTAATAATTGTAAATTACGTTTTAAAATTTAGCCAAATATTATAAAATTTCCTTTCCTGATAATTTCTACAATAGTTTCAAATGGCCCATTTGGATATGAATTTGAAATTGAAAGCATTAAGACGGTAAAACTTATACGAATATAAATTTAATTACTTAAGGTTTCAATGGTGTGGAAATATCATGCACTTCTCTTTTCGCTCTTGGGCAACTGATCACAAGCGGTGAGAATACCCGTGACGATGAATTCGGTGGCGAATTAGATAATCGTGCCAAAATTTTATTTAAAATTATCCAAGCTATACGGTATCAATTTTTATCATCTTTCATCAACAATATTTTATCATTTATTCAAAATTTATGCAATTTGTCTATTATTTCCTTTACGACAAGCTTATCAAAACTTTGCAAAATTTTTGCTATTATAATATTGATCATATGCAAATAATTAATTTAAATTATTCCCAAAATTCATTTAATTTTGAATTTTTCTTTTGTTCTAATTTTTCATTAATATATTAGGATGCATATATCCCCAGAAATTTGTCTTTTTTCCTTTCAAGAATGAAAATCAGTAAACCAAGCCGTTTTGTAATTGGCCTCAAATTATTTTGCGACAATTTTGAGCCCGATTACAACAGTGATACATTTGGTGAATTTATTCATAACGTTGAGGTAAATACTTTTCCACCTAATAGCCTCTTTTTTATTGCCTATTCTTTTATATAACTACTGGAAAAATTTTCCGTGAAAATTTCGACACCTATGGAGAAATAAATGATGCGAATAAAAATAACAAATTTTAGATTTAAAAAGATTATCTCAATTAATCTTGCAACTTCTTTACTTTTACGCGAAATAATTGGATTCAAAATGGGTGCTATTAATTAACTAATTGGAAATTAATAGTTTCACTTTATTTCATATCATTTCTTAACCATTTGAATAGTTTGAAGAGAATAACAAATTATTGTTACTCCTAACAAAAATCATATATATGGGTGTGTTTATTAGTTGATAGAAAGTTTGTGGAAATAATACGTCCAATAAACTGTTGATTGAACTGAAAGAACAAATGAACTTCATGTGAAATTGTAGAAGATAAAGTTCATTTGCCCTTTTGGGTTGTTGAATTAATGGGATATTATCTCAGAAATTTAAGCAAATTGCATTCAGAAGTTTATTTTTAGATTATTTGATGAAATCAAACATATTTTATATTGGAAATTTATCTTTCGTCTTTTTTGTTTTTCAAAATTTCTTATTGAAAACTAAAAAGCTTTTTAAACAATTGCAATTTTGCAAAACAATTAATTATAATGCACTGTCAACTAAAATTAATTTTCATAGTTTTCCATTTTGTACAACACACTTTTCGCTTAAAAAAAAAATGAAATATCGCAATTCATTTAACAATGCTATTAATTTTGCTGTTAATGAAAATTTTCAAATTTCAAAACGGAAAATAAATTTGGGAAACAAAATCAAAATCCATTATTAATTTTCTTTAGTACCTTCCTTAGCAATATTAGCTTTTTCACAAAGCACTCATTCCTCTTCTTTTCTTATTCTACCATATATATTTATATCAATTTCAAATTTTTTCTTAAATTTAGTCATTCATTTAATTTTTCTCTTGCAGAAAACTGGCTTTGATTATATAGCTATAACAGGTGGAGATTATAATTTGATCAAAGATTTAAAACGAGACGATGAATCGAACAAGTGTGAATATTTCTATCAAAATTTCGTAATTACAGTATGTTTTGCATTTTTGTTTAATCAGTAGTTTTGGGAAGAAATAATGATTTGTAATTGATATTTCGTAATTACTATTATCTTTAACTTCTATTTTGTCCTTTTTTTTTAATTCCAATTTAATTAGAAACAAATAATTTGCCAAGTCATCATTAGTTGAATCTTTTTCTGAATTGGTTACTAAAATTTGAATTTGAATTCTGAATTTATAAACTAAATTAAACATATACATAAGAGCATTCATTCAGATGCGAAAACATTTGACAAGAACAAAATTATTTATGAGTGGTGGATTTGTAACGCTTACGGATATGGTTGCTGCCGTTCATAACGGTTGGGCAGCAGGCATTTCACTTGCAAGGCCTGTAGCTGCTGAACCAGGTTTTATCATGTTTTCATTACATTTGTTTGAAAATATCCATTTAATTATCAGGTAATCATAAGTGACTAAATGTTAAAACCAAAATTGCTATTTTAATTTAAAAAGTTGAAAATTTAATTTACAAATTAATATACAACGACTTCCATGTAAAATCATGCAAAAGAGATAAATTTGAATGAAAATACTTCTAATGTAAAATAATCAAACTTTTTTTAATATTTGAAATGACAGAAACAAAGAATCAAATATCAAACTTATTGAGGAAATAGTAAACAGTTTGCTTAAAGACCTGCCGAAAAGATTATTTGCTGGAGAAGTGAAAAGCGCAACGAAATCATTATTTGACCCAGCTGATTATTCCATCGAGTATGTTTTGCTTTCTGTTTTTTTCGACGAATTTTATTATTATTTGAAAATATTAAAAACAAGGGAATAAAAATAATTAAATTATCGGAAATTCTTTTAGGTATAAGAGAAAAAAATAGTCGGACATGTTTTTGGCATAGTTATTGCAGTAGATTTCGAAATAAAAAGGATTGGATAGTAATTTTTAAATTAGAAGATCAGTGGAAGAAAAATGAATAAGATGAATATTTAAAAATATTCGAGAATTTGACTAGAAATATGAGGTAGCCATGTTTTTTCAGGGTAAAATTTGCCGGATCACAACTTTGGCAACACGGTTACTTGCTGACTGTAATGGATGCATCAAATCCTGATCATATCGAACAATTCATGAAAGATTTGGATTTTCATGAAAAACAAAAATTAGTTACTTCGAATAATGAAGAATTAGTTGTCGGTTATCCGAAAACAGTTGTAAATCCGGAATTACTAGATGAGGATATGCTCAAACGAATTCAGCAACCGTCAAAAGAGATAATATCCACTGGAGCTGTGATCTTAGACGGACATACAGCAGGAGATGAGCTAACCACAAAGAGGGATGATATGGAGAGAGAGCTGATAGAAGAGGAAATGCATCATGTGATAAAGAAACAGTTGGATTATGGAGCACCGGGTGATTTGCAAGAAAATATTGTCGAGGATTCGTTTCGTACGGTGGTGAAAGAGCATGAAAATTTGCCGGATGTTGGTGTGGATATAATTGAGGAAACCATTGAAAAAGTGATTCTAACTCAATCGAACTTCTCGGAACCACCTCAATCGGACTTCTCGGAACCACCTCAGTCGGAGTCAATTGAATCACCAATGCAAAAAGCCCAAACTGATGCCATTGAAACATTGAATACCAACTTCAATGATGCCAAAACTGTACTGGAACCTGCACTTGAGGAAGACATGAAAGTTGTAGATGAAGTGATTAAAGATATCACCGAAGGATTGCGTAAGGAAAATGAAGTTAATACACAAGCAGTAGCTGATAGAGATGAGCAATATATGGAGACTTTGTCCCCTACTCAACAATCCGAAATTAAAGAAACAGCAGAAGTGATCTCGGGATTTTCAGACGATGATAGACCGATCATTTCTGGAATCGTTGAGGAAGTTAGTAATGCCGCTGATGACACAATAAAACCGATGGAACATGCTGCAGAGCAGGAAAATGCAGAAAGTCCAACTACTGAAAATGGAAAATATCCAATGATTGAAAGAGAGCCTCCTGTTGGAAGCGAGAATTATGATGTCGATGAAAATGCTGTCGAGGAGGTAATGCGCAAGGAAATATATGGTGTTTCAACCCAAATGACGACATCATTTATGGAGGATTCAATAACGCATCAGAATGAACTATCGCCTGGGAAAGGTGACGAAGAATTTGCAAATGCATTGGAGTTTCAAGATACCGAAGGAAATCATGAAATAACAGGAATTACCGAGAAGGACCAGCAGGATCATTTACAAGATTATTCTGAAGAAGATATGATTGAGCCTCATGCTCCTGAAGGCGTAACGGAAGCTTATATTCCAAAAGATATAACTGAAGATTATATTTCAAAACGCATGGATGAGCATTTTTTAGAAAGAACTGATGGAACTAATACGTCAAGAGACTTAACTGATGATTATTTCCACGATGATAATATGGACAACGGTATAAAAGATGATTTACGATCAGAAGCAACTATATCAAAAGATATGGCAACTGATGATCTTGTCCAAGAATATCCTATGGTTAAAGATTATAAGAATCAACATCCAGAAGGCTTCTTGGAAGGCGAAGTAAACCAACGAGGATTGGATGAGTTATCAGGTGAAGTAGATCATTCCAGTGTATCATCAACAACGTATTCAACATTAATGGGTGGAAATGGAGAGTCCGTTTTTTATAAAGATTACTACGATTCAGTTCGTAAATATTCAGTTCCCAGCCAATCACCCAAAGAAACTTATCACAGTGAAATTTATGAAATACCTAGCGCTGAATCGAAGGATATAAAAAGTGCCGAAAACTTATCGGGTGAAAAAGTTGACACAAGTCAAGTGCAGCAGGAATTCGATACTGACAAATCTCTAACAGATAGTAGTACAACTCATAGACATGGATTAACTGGCTTTATTTCGGATTCTGTACAAAACTTAATCACATCTACAAAAAATAAATTTGATGAGATGCTCAGTGAAAGTGACAAAAAACATCAACCGGATTTGCAATTTACGATGAAAACAAATGAAGTAACGGAAGATGATGGACGCAAATATGAGGTCTATACGGAGAGCTACACCGTTTCTAATGCAGACCATAGGTCATCATCGGATTTCGGCGATACCAAAGCATTTTCAACCGATGATTCTGATAAATTCAAGGTGCATGATGACGATTTAACTAGTGGATCCACGGATACACAGCATTCCACCGAAACCATTATCACAACAATGACAAACCAAGATGAAAAAGAATCGATAAAACATCAAGACGGTTTGTTTGGCGATAAAAAAAGTACCGATGAGCTTGATTTTGAATTCATTCATTAAAGTTTTATTATCAAAAAAAAACTTCACTAAAATAGAAGAAATTCATAGAAATCAAACGAAAAGAAAATTTTGAAAAAAAACTTAAACAACAAATTTTCATAAATGGCTTATAAAGGAAGCTTATAAAGTAAAACAGAAATTACATTTTTTAAATTTAATAAAATATAAATCCAAAATATTCATATGGATATTTTTCTCAAAAACATCCCATTCCATTTAGCTGTATATTATAGCTAAAACCAATTTATAAATAAAGTTTAGCTAATATTTTTGCTAAAAAAAAAATTTTTTTGTTTTATTAAATTAACAATTGCAGCAAACGCAACAAGTTGATCAATAAACAAATAAGCGATAAATGCACATCATGCAACACATATATTTTGTTAAGAATTTGAAATTTATTCTTTTTCAGCTTTTATTTATTTATTTACTTGTTTATTTGTTTGTTTGTCCTTCTTCTCTTTTTCTTTTAAATTAACAATCTCTAAATTGTGTTGTGTCATAATACTAATATTATACATACATATTACTGTTGTATACTTCTTACTATTCGCATAATATATCGTTTATATGAATGAAGAAATTGTAGAAGGACAAAAAAAAAACAAAGAGAAATTAATTTAAAACTTTAATTTTCTTCCGTCATCCATCTTCTTTCTTCAACTAGCTTCATCGCCTTTTCTTCATATAATTTAGCATAATTTGCAGCTTCTCCTCCTGAACTTTTCTAATTATGCTAAATCTGCTTATTTTGAGTTTCATCTACATTTCAAAATTCGCAGATTATCAAGATCAGAAAAGAAAAGGGGAAAAAGTAGAAATGAGATGGATAATGTACTTTTACGGATCAGGAATTGTAACATTTTTGATGGGTGATATAAATTTCTTTACTTCCTCCTAATGATTCATACTATTGATCGCTTGAGCCTTGACAACATTGTTGGCAAGATTAATTAGGATGATGAGGACAGCACGAAGTAATATGAATAAGATAAAATAAAATTTAAAAGATGTTTTCGAATATGGCGCAAAATTGAATCGTTGCAATAACTTTCATCGGAACAACTTCAATTAGGTAATCGATGATCATTGAATTAATCAATTACTTAATTTATGTAATAGTAATTTGGAATATTTTGAGAATCGTATAAAATGTTGAAAGACGTTAATGGATAACTTTTTCAAAAAATTATTAATTTATTTTGAAATAAGTTTACGATAAATTTTAACACGTAATTTCTTTGAAAACTTCCTTCCTTTTTTTTCCATTATTTAATAATCAAAATTCAGGTTTAAATATCTATTATAGTATTCAATCGTAGTCTAATGTTACATTCCTATATTTTTCATTTTCATCATTGATAATATTAATCAAAAATATCATTATAGATTCTTTCTGCTCCATTAAATCTACACAGAAGTGAGATTAATTCTCACTTTTATTCGTTTTTCATTTTGATAACAATTTAAACAAATTATATAGAATGTGCAAAAATGATACATCGAAATTGGAAAAAATGAAGAAATTATTTAAATATACTTTCTAATTTGAAAATTCGATAATAAACAATTCGATTTTAAAAACATTAAAATTATCAAAACAGAAAAATGTTAAACATTGATCGATCGATCTATTTATATCTTATAAACACTTCGTTTACTACAATTTACAAATTTAATTGTATTATTGAAAAGTGAAATATTGACTGATGAAATATTGACTGAAATATTGATTTCTTTAGATGATAAAAAGAGTATAATACTTTTAGGAAATGATAAAATATAGCAATATCGATTGATTCATTATTTATAATAATGATATTGTATTCTTATCAAATTAATATATCATCATCTTCTAATCATCATAATGTTATCAATAATATTTGCCATCCTGTATAATTTACAAATCCTTGCAAATGTCTATATTGTTATTATTTCTTCAAATATATTTTATTATTCTTACATAGTCAATAGGAATGCTACGAAATGAAACATTTGCTCCATACTTCTTTTATTTACACAAAATTGTTTACTTCTTCTCTGTTTGTTTGCAAATATAATTTTATTAAAAACGCTCTTTTCAAAAATGAAATCTGAATTTAAAAAAATAAGAAGAAACGAAATCGATTGTTTAAATGTATGAAATGTTAAATTTACTTTTTCTATATCTGAAATCTTTTCATTCCTTTTTTGCTATTAAATTTAAAAACTTCTTTTTTTAAACAACAAGGAAAAATATGGAAGAATTTTCGTTTTTATTAGAAAGAAAGAATTTGGCATACAATCGATTTCCCTGGATAACATTGATAATGTTTGATAGTGATAATTGCTTCTGTATCTTTTCTTTCATCATTTGTTACCAATGGATTTACTGGTATTTTTGTCACTACAAGTTTTATTTTATAATTATAACATCAATTATTAATCAATTGGCTATTTTCAAATATCACTTCTAATACTTCGAATAATGGAATTTCAAATTTGAAATTAATTTAGAAATCGTTTTTTTATTCCATCACTTCATTTTGCTTACTGAATCTTTGTTAAATATTCTTTCAAAATTAAAACTAAAAAAAGGAAGGCTAAAAATGATGGATGAAGATAAATTTCAAAATGATACACATAAATCTCAACTTCAAGAAACTTCCAAAGGTGATTGATGATTCAAAAAATTTTTGTTGCCCAAAATATTTCTTTTTCGTCAAATTTCGAAGTTATTCAATGAAATCAGATTCCTATGATTTCGTCGTTTTTTTTTTGTTACAAAAATTTCATAGGAAATAATAACTGAATTAATTGCAATTAATGAAATGAAAATGAATTAAACAATGAAATATCTTGGTTTGTTTTAATTCATTCAATTCCTGAAGCTATTTGCATTGTATTTCTTTTTCTTTCTATAAGATCAAAACAGTTTAATGAATCGATCTTTTCAAAAAACTGTAAATGTGGGTAGAAGAAATTCAATTCATTCTTAATATTGGCTTCAAATTTGTTAGATGCTCTTTTGCTTCTTTCGTCTTTTATTTTCTCATCTCTTTAATGATAGTATTTTAGCTTGTCAAATTCCTTCAAAATTTATTTTCGCATGGAATTTTTCTCGTAAAATATGTAATAAATTATGCTTGAGATGAATCAATTGTTCTCGCATTTATGCCAATTTATTGATTTAATTTTAATAATTATCACTCTAAACTTATCAGTCACATTTAATACATCCAAACGACGTAAGTACGCGAATTCACGTGCAAAATAAACTTATCAACAATGGTTTGATCTTGGTTTCAAGCTTTCTAACCAAGTACCATATTTACTATTTTAGGTACAAAATAAGTATGTCATCTATTGTTATGCAAATAACAATTACTTTGAATAAATGCAAAGAAAAAAAATCTAATTTACAACAGATATTGTTTCATAAGTAATCAATCCTGCTTGATGTTAATGAAATTAGTAAATAAGCACATATTTATTGGTTTTAAGCAAATTATAATAAACTTTTATTAAAGTTCAAAGGTTAGCAAAGAAATGTACAAAAAGATTGGATTAATAATCATTTTTTCCTAATTTAATCAATATTTATTATTCAAAAATTCTATTTCACTAAAATAATTACAGTGAATTTCTTAAATGAACGTAATTTCTTCTTTATCCTAACTTAGTTCTTAATGTTGTCTGAATGTTCAAACAGAGTTAAATAATCAAAACTCAAATCTGAAATCATTTTTTCTCCTAAAATTATTTCGTTAAAATAAACATAATTTAAATTACAATTGATAAGCGAATAAATCCATTTTGCTTGGTAGCATAGCAGAAATTATTTAATTCTGTGTTTCATTTAAAAGAAATCTACTCAAATTTTATTCTGTAATACAAATGGCTAAAATATTTTTTCTAAAATTTTAAAATTTCAACTTTAAAATTTTATCATTATGCTAAAACAATATAATTCCCATTCATTATCAGTAACATTCTTCTGCTATGGTAATAAGCAAAATTTCGTTATCGTTCATAGAAATTAATGATTATATTAAAATTCATTACCTATCTCTCTTTGTTTTTCTTTTCGAAATAGAATAAAAATACAAATTATTCCATTAATAAATTAAAACAGAAGAAAAAAACGAAAATTTTTCCTTTCATAACGCATACTTATTAATTTAAATTCGAAATGATTATTCTATCATATAAATGATAATGAAATTTAAAAGGAAATCTATCTGATGCAAATACACAATATTCGTCCATTTCTTGTTTTACCATGATTTTTTATTTTGTAGTATGGAAGTGCTATTTGATCGATTTGATCGCATCTTTTTCTTCTGATCGATTTGATCGTATCCTTCTTCAATTTGCTATCTCTGACCTATATGGTTGTCGTACCTTTTAAAATAAAATAAGTATTATTATTTGAAAAATAGAAGTGAAATTATAATATATCATGATCGTATTGCAAAAATGTTATGAAATTTAATATAATATTTTTTTTTTGAGAGTAACAAAAGTATATGTGTAGTAAATTGGTCATTTGAAATATTTTTTTCGCTTTCTAATTACCAAAATATTCGATCATCCAATTTATAATCAGTCGTTGCTAATGTTTTATTGAATAATTAATAATAAAAAATTTAGAATTTAAAAATGAAATACGTTGAAAGGAATGTGAAAATCAATTCAATTTTTGTTATCAACCGAAGCCTAATTAATTGCTTTCATTAGTCAAAGCTGATATAATCATTTAATATCAATATAAAAGATGTTTTTTTGGCTATATTAGGGAGAAAGAGAAATATCGTTGATGTTACTTTAGCTGATGACAGCTGTTTATGCACTAAGAGTATGAATATGAAAATTAATTTGTTTAATAGCAATTTTGTTAAAATGATAATTTAAGTTTGAACTTCTCCAATTTCATTTGTGCAATGAATTCGCATGAATTTAGCATAAAAGAAACATAATAATATATATACCTTATTTGTAATAGCTTCAGCAGACATACTCAATTTTTTTAATGCAGACTTTTTAGGATTTGCTTCATTGAGGAGAATGCCCAATTCCGGAAGTACTTTATCCCGTATACGATCACATTCCTACAAATAGATTGTATGAGACAAAAAGCGTATAAAACTTCCAGGATTGTTGAATTACATGAAACTATGGGACGATTCGATTAGATGTAAAAATAAATTCTCAAAATGTTATCAGTTTTGATTCGGTAGAAAATCGGATTTGTACAATGTAATCATATTTCGCTTTTTTATGTTAAATTAAATCACCTTTATGATATCGTTAAAATTACGCTGCTGTGCTAATTCCGAAATGGTTTCTCGGAAAACAGTTAACGCGCTAACATAAGGCATGATAAGTTCGTGGGCGGAAGTGCTTGGCGAAGTACCGGAAATTTTAGTCTCACTGAAACAGATAGCAGTGGATCAACTAAATGACACTACCTATGTTTGAAGAATGATAAATGATAAATCAGAGATTGATAATCCAAACTTATCACAAATAATTTTCCTAATCGTCAAATAACATTCCTAAAAAATCGTAGTTTCGAATGAAATATACTCTTGTCAAAATTGCCTTTCATCAATTTCAAAAAGTGATTGCCATTCGAATTTCAATTTAAAATTGCACAAACCAATCGAAAAAAAATAAAGTACCACTTCAGAAAAAGAAAATTTCAATAAATGTATATTGCGCTCAAAAAATCAACAAACCCAAAATCAATGGAGAAAATATCGTCGATATCTTTAGGTGTAGTACCAAATGCTTTCAATAATGGAATTATATAAGTGGCGATATTTCGTAATAATAAGCAGTTTGGAATTTTATTTTCTTCCTCCTAAAAAAATCAGTAATTTGAGTTCATTCGTTTAAAATAACTATTTCAATTCATTTTCGATTTAAATCATACGATATTCTTAATCATAACTATAACTGAATAGAGCGACGAATTTGAATTCGAAATTTTTGTGAATATGTTATTAAAAAAAAATCTTATCCTCATTTTCGGTTTTTGTCCTTCCGTTAAAATATATTTTATTCTATTTTGAAATTCTAATTTTGAGCATAACAACAAAATTCAATTTCAAATTTTCAATTGCATTCAAATTTTGATCATACTTTGAGTGTCACTTTCATCATCGTTTTTGCATCAAATTATGCAATGAAGGAAAACTACTTCAACCTTTATCAAATAAGAAATGTAATTTCGAGCGTTTGCTACGATATTACGGGTTGTTGTAAAAGTAAAAAAATTACTCTCTTAGGTTCCTTGAAGTACCAACTAATAAGTTATAGAAATTTGTAGGTTTTGTATCTAAATATATCTAACTTGAATTAATTCGTTAATTCACATTATCATAATATTTATAAAATTTCGATAAATTTTATGAAACAAATAATTGCTTACCATTTCATTAATATACTCTTCCCCGAGATCAATTATTCGACATAATTTTTCAGCAATAATTTTCATATCAATAGTATTACGCAATAATGCATTTACTTCAGATTTTATCTTGAAAAATTCATCCATTAATTGCAATTCTCTTTTATCATATTTTTGATAACCCTGTAAGATAATCTTAATGCAAATTATAAAATAAAATTTCGTAATAATTAAATTGATATCCTTAAAACAAAAGAAATGATTATTTCCTCATTATCTAAACTTTACTATCTGTCCTGGAGAAAGACCAATTTTGTAATCAATGACGAAAAATTAGCATTCGTGATAATTTATAGCTTTATAGTCAGTCCTATTGTTGTACTGTTATAGAAGTATAAATCCAAGAAAAATCAATACGAAAGTGTAAGTAATTTAAAAGTGTTGAATGAAATTAAAAAGAAAAACCTCATTGATATCTGGCTTGTAATAATGTCGAATGCATCTTCTAACCAATAGAAGAAATTCATTCGCAATTTTTTCAAATTTTGTTGCTGTATCCGTTTGCATCCTTTCCGAATGATAGTGAAATTTAATCACTGAAAATTAATTTTCATGTAAAACTAATGGCAACTTCTGGATTTCATATTGTTAACGATGAAACATTCAACTGTTTATCAAAGTATCAAAAATTATTTCACAGAACAATTTTAACATTATTAATCGATAACAATTCAATCTTCAGAAAATTCTAAATTATAATTTTAATTTTAACAATATTATCCAATTTATTGATTTGCTGAAATTAAAAAATTAAGTTTATAAAAAGTGACAGCATAAAAGGAATGGTTTTTTTTCTCAAGGAAAAAAGGTCAATAATTCATGAACGTCATTTATTATAAATCGAAATTGTACAGTTCAGAAGGAAGAATATTTTCAATCAGTAGGAAAATGTTAAAATTAATAATGAAAATGTTTGATTTAAAAAAGAAAGAATTTTCGATAAAACAATCCCAACATAAAGTATTGGAGATGTATGTATCACACCACACATCTTTAAGTGATCTTTAAAATAAAAAAAAGAGTACACTATTGAACGATAACATTACAGATCAAATTTTTATAAACATTTGCGCATCGGTTAAGAAACAATAAATGACAATTTCGCACAATTAATTTGGATGTGAAAACTGAAATTGAAAAACACATGAGCAGAAAACTAAGCGCATATCTATCTATACGATCATGAAATATATGATATATATATATATGTTTGCATAAATAATGCACGCATTGTTTTGGACATTTGATGCTCAAAAAGAAATGAAAAGAAAAAGCGTGCTTAATTACACCATTCGGAAAAAACGTTGATTGCACCAGAAATGTTCCATATTAAACAAACGAGTTTAATAGGTACAATTTGACATGAGTAGTTCCGTTTTTAACACAAATATTAGACTTCATTCAACAAGGAGGCAATCCTTATATATATATATCATCCAGCTCCAAGATTTGATATTTTAGAAAAGTAAGTACAACGAAGAAAAATTTTTTGGACACTCCTTCTTCGTTTCATCACATTCAATTTGATAGTAAATGAACAATATATATCGGGATACTTTTAATCCAATTAATTTATCAAATCATTAAGATTATTTGAAGTATATGCGTCGCTCATATTTATTTCAGAGCTCTTCTCTAAGATACTAGCTGAAGCGGAAATTTGGCAATCATAAAGGTTATGTTCAGTTGAAAGAAATTACTGATTGTTTGATTAGAGAAAAATGAAGATGATTATTTTTGATAATGACACTAAAATGATTGTAGAAATAATTGAAATTATGATAAGATTAAATGAGCTTCATTTAGTAAGCTTTCGGATCAATTTTATTAGCAAGAATAATTCAAACATAAGAAATTTTAAACTTATATGATTTAACAAATTTTGCATATCGCGAATTTTCTTGTCAGTAATTATCACATTGCTTTCTTAGTGCTATGTAACTAATCATTAAATTAATTAAAAAAATGCAAAAAAGTTATAATTACTAAACTAATTATTAGGTTTATAAAAAAAGACAAACGAATTGTAATTATTAAACTAATCATTGAACATTTAAATAGGTAAATAATTTTTTATAATGATTAGATGAAATTTTATGGGAAAAAAAGGAAGCGAAAATAGTTTGATATGATTGATACGTGAAATAATTGATTCGTATTGAAATTGTTAATGATATTTATACTAAATTTCTTTCATTAACAATTTTCTTTTCATTTATTTTAAACTTACCAATTACATTTATTTGTTTTCTCTACTTCTTCTAATTACTTAATCATAAAACTCATCGATTAAGTTAGGAATATTTCTGTAAGATTTTATCACATCCTTCAAATTTCTATCTGTTTGTTATCAGTGATAAAAATTCCTGTAATTGCCTTGAATAAGAGGAAACTTTTTGTCGTATAATTTTGTTTTCTTTTTTCCTTTCAGCATCTACCGGAAAATTCAGAAATTATTATTAATATGCGTATGTTAGGAAAGATTGGATAAATAACATATATAACATTGATGTTGTTTCACAATGTTAAAAGTGTCGTATGAAACGTTATCGGATCATGAAATACATCCAAATTGGATTGATTAATCATCACTGCCAATGGTTACAATCGAACGCGACATCATTTCGAAATTTTCCACTGTGATGTTAAAATACATAAGAATGACTGAATGATTGAATGAATGATTTCTGCTTACTTCCCCGTCTTTTCCATCTCTTTTAGAATTTCATTCAAAAAAAAAAAAACTATGGTATAATTTATCATTTCTTATCAAGCAATATCCATATCATTAAAATCTATCATATGATATACTAAATGGATATAACGCTGTAAAGTTTTACAGACAAACTGATTTAATGTATGTTTCGAAATGGCTAACTTATTATAGATAAGTAAAAATGAAGAATAAGTTATGCCATTAAAGAAAGTAAGAACTGTAAAAAGGTTTGCGATCAATATGAGTAGGTATTATTATGATTTTACTATCAATACCAGAAATAATATTTCAAAACTAATTTCATATATAAATTATATATAATAATTTCATATATAAAAACAAAAAGACAAATGAATATTTGACGGTTATTTTAGTACTATCAATAACACAAAATAATATTTTAAAACATGAAAGAAAAAAGAAGGAAAATGACTAGTTTTTAACTAGTAAAAGATTGAACTTTAATAGCAATTCAACAATGTTGTATCTGTTCGATAAAGGGAGGGGGGGGGGGGTAAAAGACGTCGTAATCGTTACTTTAAATACAGTTTCATTATTTTTCCTTTCTTTTTTCTTCCTCTTTTTTCATCATTTTTCAACAAATAGAATGGAGCAAAAAGAAAACAGGAAAAAATTTAGTTCCAATATAGATGATAATTGGCAAAAATGACCATTGATCTAATTGAATGAACATTTTTTCAAATTTGCAAATATTTTTATTTTTAAGAAAATAAAATATCACACAATTAATGATTGCTTTATGTCTTCATCTTCTTCTTCTTCTTCTTCTTACCTGCTAAATTTCTCGTTTTTTTTTCCCGATCGTTAAATTTCACAAAAAAAAAAGGGAAAAGAGAAGAATAACAAAGAAATAAACAAATAAACAAGTAAATAAATAAACAAACAAACAAACATAATTCTTTTAGGCAAAATTAGAAATTTCCTTTGAATAGTTTTATTGCTTTTTCAAAGGTAGCATTTTATATAGTGTAGTGATAATATAAATATATTAAAAATTGAATGATGACATATTTTTGGGATTTTATTTTTTTCAAAAAAAAAAATTTTTTTTAATTTTGGTTAGGAAAATGATAAGTGGTATGTAATTTATAATACTTCACATGAAATGCCGATGTAGAAATACACTCTTTCTTCCTTTTCTAATTAATTGAAAAGTTTAATATCACTTAATTTTCTTTTCTTTGATCATAAATGGATAATTTAATTTCGAAAAAGTAGAGCACAAAAATAAGCTTTCTTTTTTAGAAATGCTAAATCAAGAAATTTCTTTCTAAATTAAAATGCTAATATCTATAGGAAAGGTGTACAAAGAAAACGGAATGTAGCCTTTGAAGAAAAGGGAAAAGGTTTCAATTGTTTCTAAATACTTCTGAACGATGCACTCCCAAAATATCAACAGATTTTTTTATTTTAAGAAATTGATAACTTTATTTGATTCATGTGTTCCGCTTGTTTTATTTGTTTAAATAATTTATTTAAGATTTCGAAATAAACATACAAATTAGCAAAATTTGAAATTTCGAAATTTCATCAAAATAATTCCAATTTCAAAAAAAAAAAAATGTCATCCATTCAAAAGCAAAACCTTTGCCATTTCATCCTCATTGGATATGAAGAGATAATAGAAAGGTTTACTTAATAGTATCCAACATAAGTGCCTTTGCCATTATCAGATAATGCTATCGTCTTATACGAAGGATCATTATGAAATATAGTGGTGACGAATGATTTGCAATGATAAATCTTACCCATATAAAGCTTATATTACTAAAAAAAAAAAATCATTGCTTCTTCAGAATTTTTAAAACATAATTTGTTCCGACTATGACAAAGAATGATCAGATGAAAGCCATGAAAAATCACAAGCTAAATCACGAAAATCATTTGTATGGTTGGCCCTAATAAAGGAGCAAATGATAGTCCATTCTTCAGCAATTCAATTAAAGAGGACGTTTCAATAGCTGGTATCATAAGCATATTTACCTGAATATCTGGCTAAAGCGCTAAGAAACATGCAGCACTTAATGATTGGTCATTCTTGGTTATCCCATTTTCTGAACCTTCTTATAGCGGCTATTGTCGGTCACTTCGGAATATAATAAGAGTAAAAAATAAATTAAAATTGAATGTATGTAGTAAACGAAATATGAAAATGTAATATGCATTGATATTTTTCCTCTCAAAATTTCGATGACAACTTTGTGACAGCAGCAATTTCAATAATTTTTATCATATCAAAGAAACAGCGAATTATGAAATACAGTAGGATATAAAAAATATCTAGAGAGAGAGGAGATATGTGAGAGTGGAGAAAAGTAGAGAAAAAGATAGGATTCCCGAAATATATGATATGATGAGAGGATTAGGAACATTTGTCAACAGTCATTTAAACAGTAATGATAAGAGCATCAAAAATTTTTTTGAGTTGCCGAAAAGAGCGCCGATATTAAAGTGATGAGATGGAACATTGCAGGGGTTAAGAAAAATGACACAAGAAGAACGTTGCGGTGATTGGAAGAGAAAGAGTGTGATGTAAAAAAGTTAACCCAACTTGTCACGTGTCGCGCTCCTCAAAATTTCATAACATGACTGGTATGTTCTGGAATTGCTAACTGCGCCATGTTTAGGCATATGAAATTACCGATGTGCAGCATCTGTATGAATTAAACGAAATGACAGTCAATGAGTGGTTGAAGTTTAGATTGCTAAAATTCGTAAAAACAGAGGAAGGAAGGATAATGATGAGAAGCGCATTTTACATCTTTTCAAGTTCATGTTCGTAACTTCCCGTGGAATAGTAATTTAATGCGTATTGCAGCATGAAATTGTTGGCTAAATTACTGGAAAACGAATCTTACCTGAGCGTACGTAGTATCACATTTAGACGGATGCTTTCTGGATCTGCCGCAGTATGTTCCAAATACGATCCGAGAGTATTTCGTGAACCAATTGTAGATCTGAAACAGGTTGTTTTCATTATATATATGGCTCTCACTGGGTTTCGTTTATTGCAGTTCATGTTGCTAGTCAACTTGCTTTGTTAAATACCATATCTATCGTCGGAGCGTTAAGTATATTACTCTATATGTTAAGGTAGTAATGTAATACCAACAGAAGCATAGCATATCATTCCTTATCAAGCAGTGAATAAAGCTGTTGTATTATAGTATTTTTCTGAAGTATTAACGCCTCCAAAGAAGAGGTATTCGAAGAAAGAAGAGGATATAACTGGATTTGCTTATTCATTTTAAATTTATTAGAATAGATTTATTAACTTTTATTATTCCCAGTATTTTGTTTTTCTTTTCTTTTTGCAGCAACCTCTTTAGCGAATAACATGCCTATTATTTTGGGTACGAGAAGGTGATCCAATACACTACAACTTTGATAGGGCGGAAAGACTTTAGAAGCTAATGTCATATTTCGTCAAACTGCGTTATATAGCGAATTGGAAGGTTTGGAACCTTTATGATCGTTTTCAGCTTAATCAACCGCTGGACCCAGACGATGATCGCCGATACTGCTATATAAAGGCAATGACCAGTGCTCAGACGCCAGTGTTTTATCGAAATGCCGTCATAGATAGATTAATTAATGTGTGTATGCTGTGCGGAATGAAAGGTTAACTGAAATATTTTACCATTCGGATGAAAATTTCTTCTATTAATCTAGAATTTCCTATCGTAGTCTCATGTTTATATCGAAATTAGAATTCTTTCGAAACCAAGAATTTGTTTAATCCTGTTTGAGTCATTGTTGTTTGACTCTTTGGCATAGTACGGTCGGTCGTGGATGTTAATACCTTTGGTCGGTACCATCACGCGGTCTGTTATACTCCTTTTGTAGTGTAGGATAGCTGTACCAACCCTTCGGCGTTTATTAATTTTTCGAAACCATGACAGTTTTCTGTAAAAAAATCGTCGTTTTTGCCTATTTTATTTACTGGCTCGTTAGGCAACTTATGGTTTATGCTGTTGAATCTTAATGGACCAAACTTTTAGCACACGCCTTATTTTAAGAATGGTCAAAATAACTTTAACTTATCGCCTGGCCTTGAAATATCAGGTTCGTGAGAGTTACTAGATATTTATTTAAATTGATAGGCTTTTTAACGGAATCAAAGTGAGTGCATTCTATGCTTTCTATTATGTTATAGAAAAAATCTGGAATCTTGTTTTGGAAGCACTAGAAATAATAAAAAGACGTCAATACAATTTGTGGAGAAATGCTAGCGATGAACAGAAAGGGAAAATAGAGCTTGATCCGGTAGCAATTACAGAAAAAGCTATCAAAAATTGCTGTCCTATAATGATTCTACGTCCATTTATTCGTGGTTAATCCTTTTCCTTATCTCTTTATTTAAATTTTTTTAATGGGAATCATTACAAATATCGTATTAAATTCATGAAAGTAAGCGTCAAGGCACATCACACAACGATACGTCTAAACCTCTTTTGCTGGAAAATATTTTCTTTAAATGATTAAAATTTTATTGTCTTTTACGAGACTACTGCTTACTTTAATTTGCATACATTCTGTTAAAATGATTTATGTGCTTATCAACTCCTTATTTATTTCACTTCAACTTAGTTCACAATAAAATTTTGCTGTATTAACTTTGTTCTTAAAGTTTATTGTCAGGGGTGTTTATACGGTTTTTCTGGTTGTTTAGAATTTATTTCCTTAGAAACAAGTTCTGCTTGTGAGGACTTTTTTTTCAGGTGGGCAAACTTATATGGTACCGTGTCCGATATCGGAGCACCACGCTGAATTCCGAGCAATGAAAACGATGCGTGATATCTGTCGACAAAAGACTTTTCACGGTGCTACTCATTTTCAACACATATTAGCTGATGAGTTACTTGCTGCTTACAAGAACGAGGGCTTAACGGTGCAAGCAAAGCAGGAATTGCACAAACAATGTGAAGCAAATCGAGCCTATGTTCATTACAGGAGGCAGTAAAATGTTTGTGAATATTGTCTAATATTTATGTTGAAAATGGTGAAAATATTATGTTTCAATAGAAAAGATGGTATCGGTTGGAGCGGGTAATTTTATGCGATACTGTATCTGTAAATTTTCCAATGTATATACATAACCGGTCTTATTTTATTGACACATGACGAAGTTGCTCTGAAGCCTTTTTGCTGATTGCTGTGTTTTTCTACTGCTAGATGGTGAATTTCAGCTTTTTTGATGATATTTCATATGCATTTTATGAAATATTCAATATGATGTCCTATTGTTATGTAAGCATACATTTTTGTGCTTGAATTTTACGCGTTGATGCAATAAATTTTTTTATACAGTTAAGTTGAATAAATTGTTCTTAGGACGAGTTATTTGGTTTGCCGAACCTGTTTATCGAACTTTTTTCGTGAATTCAAAATTGTCACCAGTGAAACGTTGTTTTGTAGTGTGCCGTAATAGTGGGTAATGTCTGTATTGAACTAAAACAGTGTCTAGTTTATTCTTTTCTAGGAATTATTTCTACTTCCACGCAGTTTTATTCGGTGATGAGCCAATTTAAATCATGTTACTGTAATGCAGGTTATCAAAATCTTTTCGGCTTGAGTTAGTCGTTCATCGATTTACCCCTATTCATTCTTATTATTCGATCTTTCTAATATATACTTTTTTTTTTAATTGTACTGATTTATGCTCACGTTTTGATTACTGAGAGACTTACCAAATATGTGTTTTTAAATTTTAAAACCTTTAAAGTGATAATTCAAATGTAACAAAAAGATGGGCGAAGAATGTGCTGTGGTTACAGTGAGGAACTTCTAATATTGTGCTACTGCTGTTGTGTTTTTCATAAAATACCTCCCTCTTTCAGGATATTATGGCATTATCTAGGAACTAATTTGTAGATAATGGCAGCCAATACGTTGTTGTTAAGTGATTTTGAACATCAGTACTCCGTGCAAACTGCTGAAATCACAGCACGTATCGGACGTTTGAAAGATTTGGATAAAAATGGGCGAGTTGAAGGGATTCATCAGGTTCAGCGTTTACTGGTTGATGTTGAAAATCTTTTGGAACAAATGGAATTAACAGTTAGAGAATTGAAGCCATCGAGGTACGATTTACTATTTTCTGAAAGTAGCTTTGATTGTAGGCCATAGGTCCACCCACGTATAGTCAAAATATTTTAGTGATTAAGTGAGTTAGATAAACTTTAATTTCGCTATATTCTTATAAATCATCATTAAATTCAAAAATTCACGTGTACTCAAACATGCTGTTTTTGGGAAATCAGAATATATTTTCGATTTACAGTGCGGAGCGGTCGAAATATGAATTGAGAGTTCGCAGCTATCGAAATGACAAAAAACAGTTAGATGTTGAGCTGGATAAAGCAGTTCAACGATTGAAAGATAACGCCGATCGGGATGAACTGATAGCATATGATAACCAAATTTCCGTGAATCAGGTTGGTCTTGTATTTTCCCATTTCCTATGTTCTTCCGCGTTCATCATTCACACTTGTGTTCCATCAATAGAATTTTCAATTTTCATCAATGTCCTTCTATTCTCATCCTCATTTTTCCTGCAGCGATTAGGTTAAAGTGCAGTTTTCAAACTGAATAATACTTTAATTTCATGGATTCATCGATTTATAATATCTAAATTGTCATATATACTCGTAAATTGTCATATATACTCGTAAAAGTTCGTAAACTGTTGAAGATTCTTTTGAAATTATCACTAAGCCAACAAATGTTAGAGTTACGAAAATGTGCTGTTTGTTAGCGAGAAGTAATGGACTACACTTTTCAAATTGTAAATAAATCACAGTTTGACAAGTGCCATATCAATAGCAAGACTTTGTTGTGTCGTTGTGTTTTTTCCAGTGAAGGCATCGCTAACGAATTCCCGTTTCATGTTAGATTATAATATTCTGCCTTTTTTATAGCAAGACCAACTAATTGAAAATACCGAAAGGTTGGAGAGGACGTCCAGAAGACTTCAAGATACTTATAGAATGGTGATTGAAACAGACCAGGTTATTTTATGCTTTCTTTCTTAGGAATTATTAGAGGATCATTATGACTTGTTTTGTTTTTCTTCCAAAATTTATCGCTTGCAGTAAACAGATATTACCATTGTGACTTTAGCCCTTGTTTGAGAATGGAAAATGCACTTTATTTTCCAAAAAAGTGGAAGGAGGAAGGCAGACTAGAGGAAGTAAGAAATGATCTTATTTTGGATATTTATTATTATTCATTTCATGTAGGATGTAATGCAAACAACTCTTTATCTGAAACTAAACATAATAAGCTTGATAAAAATAAAAATATGGAAATTATGATTTGCGGTTAATCAATAATATTCTTTTTCTTTTCGGCAAGTTTCTATACGCAGCTATCTGCGTTCATGGTTATTTTAGTTTTAACTAACACTAAAATTTTTGTAGATTGGAACAGAAGTCTTGAATGATCTGAGTTCCCAACGTGAAACAATAATGCGAGCACGTGAACGTATGCGACAAGCAGATAGAGATTTAAATAGAAGCCATAAAATGTTGTCACTGATGATACGCAGGTATTCATCGTTAGTATTTCTTTTCCTCCTTTATTTCAATAGTTTATGAACTAATTAGGACTGATTTTAAATTTCCTATAAATTTTCAGAGTAATCCAGAATCGTTTGTTGCTACTTATTGTGGCTGTGGCCCTTCTGTTTTCGTTGTTATTCATCATTTATAAGTCGTTGTGATGAAGCGGATACTGCGTGTACGCAACTAGCAGAACTTATATCTTTCATTTAATCCGAGATTTCATACAGTTTGATGATTACAGTGCGTTTTTGCTTAAGGTAGTTTCATCTCGAGAAGTGGGAACTTCTAAAATGTAAAGGTGAATCTCCTTCAACATCTCACACTGGCCATTATTTCTAACCTAAAGTATAGCATTAAATTATGATCATTCATATTCACTTCACTCACAATTTTTTCTGCAAAATGGGATAATGCAGTAATATTTGGTCATTCTATAAAAAAAGCTAGCATATTTCATCGATTTCAAACAAAATTTTGAATTTCATTCAAAGTGTCTGCTGTTCTCTTTTTGCGACCTGTGCGGTGGCCATTCCAGTCATTCTTTGGTTGTTCTGAAACTTCACTTATACAGAACAACAAAAAAATTTCACTTGGCCACCACCTAACTTAATTTGCACCGTCATCTTCAAATATCATTCAATTCTGCGATTTTACTAAAGCGAAAACAAAAGGGCTTCAAATCTAGAATTAAGAATTTCAAAAAAGGCAAAAATATTGTTTTGTAATTTGATTCATTATGAATTGTTTGGGAATTCATCGTTGGTTTTTTTTGAATCAGACACTTTCTGTGGTGTTACATTACAAAACGGCATGTGTGCTCGGTATGTACTTTTTTTTTAGTAGTTTCATGTGGTGTTTAAGAAATGATTTCTGTCATTTTCCTTGTTAATAGATGTTTTTCAGCTTCTCTTATTCTAAATTGATAAGACCGTGGGATTCGTTTGTTTATATATTGTTACTAGATGTTCCTATACTCATTTGGATATCAATTTAATAAAAGCTATGATACCGTCTTAAGACAGACCGTCTTAAGTTTTCAATTTTGGGAGAGTATTAGTAGTTTAGTAGTTTGGATGTAATAAGTGCTATTTGCTTGCATGAATTAAAATGAGACGTCAGGATGGAGTGGACTTATTGTATGGCAAAATGTTCACAAAGAACGTTACTCTGAGCGATACGGAAATCACTCATTTCAATTTCGCGTACGCGAAATTGGTTTTTTACAATTTCTCAAAAATCAAACTCATATCTAGTACAAAGATGGAAATCATACTGAAAATACAAGTGAAATTAGGCTCAATGAAGTGACCAGAAGAAAAGATCCGATTGGAATTGTTTGATACTTTTCAGCAATACTCAAAATGGATTTTGTTTTCATTCCATTTTTGGAGTTATACATTTCTCAATCGTCGGCTGTTGAGAATGCATGCGAATTTTCTGAGCTATCCCATGTTTTTTGTATTGTCCAGCAAATGTATATAGTCCATCTCTTTCTATGTTGATTGACCAATCCACTCAAAGTTACACTCTCAAAAGCGTCTTTTTTTTATCTATGGTTAAACATTGTTACATATCAGGGTTGGTCGTCGCAAGTGCCCCAAACAAATCAGCGGATAGAGTGGAGTGGAGTGCTGAATAAAGAAAAAAGAGGATCTCATACTAACCCTTCCGGACCCGATAAAATGCCAAAAAAAGTGAAAAACTGTAAAACATCTGAGAAAAAAAAAACGGAAAAAACCACGAGGTATCGGATAGGGTAAAAAAATGGTGCAAACTTGAGACATAGACCGCCAGTGTTTTTACGTGTATCGATAAGGATAAATGATAATATTAAAGCAATTCGAAACATTTCTTTTTTAAATCGTAAATTTAAGTTTAAACTATTTCAATACATTTCGTTTTTCTTAAACAGAATTTATCAAAGCTTCCCAATTTTTATTCTTTCAAATTTCAATGTTATTCACATTTTTTTTCCACAACAAAATTTAAAATGCTTAATTATTCAATTCCTTTTTTCTCTTATAATAGAAGTATTCGTGTATTAATACATTTTGAAAGATTTACTTTCCTTATCACTTTGCATTTTAGTAATCCGATCAAAATAATCAGATAATTGATAGTAACGTGATATATTAAACATGGAAGTGCTCAATGGATCGAAGAGGTTGGTCTGGCAGGCACCGATTCCAGCAAAAAAGTGAGAAAAAATTCGAGGAGGGAACGAACTAACATCATCCTAATCATAATAGGGTGGGTAGATCTGGTACTGACAACAATTACATTTCAAAAAAAAAAGAACCGAAGGAGGAATTGCGGTGTATTTGTATGTTGGCGACCGCCTCAAATTTTCTCCCCAAGAATTTAAATTAAATTTCGAAATGAACTAACAAAGAATCAGAAATACAGCATTGTTTAGTATATGGTACAAAGAACTTAATTATTTCACAACGATAACTATCAAAAAAGAATCTAACAAAGCATATATTCTAATATTTGTACAATTTTGAAAATAAAAATATTCTGAAGGTGAAAATTAAAAATTCGAAGTGAATGATTTTGTTAGCAATTCAGATATTATGGAAACTATAATAAAATACAAATACAACCAATATATGTTAAATGTAATAAACTTTGAGGACTGTTTAAATAAACAATTTATTGATTAAAATATAGTCGATAAAAATGATGATAAAATCAAGCAATACTCATCATCATTATCATCATTGTCATCATCTTTATTTATTGGCAGTTTTATTTTTATTTGGTAAAAAACATTTTACAATAGGAGATTGAAAAATTAACAGGCTTTGAAAGAACTGCAATATTTTATCAACAGTAGCATTCAAATTCGATTTCCACCTTACCACCTTCATATTAATATAAAATTAACATAAAAAAATTCATATTAACATAAAATTCATATTAACATAAAAATTTCCACCTTCATATTAACATAAAATTGAAATCATAAGATAAAAGTGAAATATTGCTGTATTTAAGATATTCCTAAAAAAGATTTTACACTTCATTTCGTTCAATTCATTTAATTTATATATTTAATTGAGATATGATAATTCAAAAGCCTTTATATCGGAGAGAAGATCAGTAAATACATTTGATTTATTTAACAAATTAAATTGAATCCTATCAGGTCATTCCATATCCATTGAAAATAATACACGTATGTATTATAACTGATCTGAAATTTTCATAATTCGTATATTCTTCATAAATTTGATTAATTTCGAATAAAAATTAAGAATTTTTTTTTTTTTAAAATATAACATTTATATTAACAATTGCAAGTTTATTATAATAGCAAATAATACGCTGTCACATAGGTTGTTTGCAAGATATGCTATTTGTTAATTATTTCTGAAATTTACGAAATAAATATTTCTCATCATTAATTTCGATATGTTCATTGCAATGAAGAAAATGAAAAATTGGAACCGTCATATGATCAATAATCGTTCATAATCTTTTGATTAAAAATATTATCCGATGATCTAAATGATTTTGCAGACGATTTCAACTCCATGGGAATTTTTTTCACTGCTTGAACAATATAATTGGCTCCTTGACTATTGTCCCAGTACATGGTACCACTAACCATATAACGTATGCAAAATTCACATATTGCACCAATCTCAAATTATAATTAAAAGTGATAGAATCAATCTTCAATTTAGAAGCAGAATTTTTATCTCTTATTTTGAGGAGTGAATTGTTACTAGATTAACACTGATATCACGTACTACTGAGATTTAATTGGAGTTATGATGAAACGATACTACATGGTAGTTAATATTTAGTAGGAATAATTAAGAACTTATAATACCGGCAAATCGATGGGAAGTGATATGATAAATGTGAATTTGTCAATAGTGCCATCTTCTAATCCTGAACTTTCGTATCGTCCTGCTGTTTCGATGTATGTTCTCCAATTATCTGTAGTATATCTGACGTATACCTAAAAAATGTGATTCAAATATGTAGATAAACTGGTCAGTATAAATATAGATGAGAGAAAAGACATTAAAACTAACATTTTCAGTTGCTTTTAAAGCATAAAAAGTTTAGCTTAAACATAAATTCAAAGGTGCAAAATTTTAATTTCGAATCATTTAAATATTTGTTAACCGAAATATTTCTACAATCATCCCAATTCAACCAAGATACCAAAGTGTAATATAACGTGGAAATATTGAAATACGTGATCGAGTAAATAATTACTTTTAGAAGCTTTTAAAACTTTTAGTAAATAATTTTTAGTAAATAATTACTTACCAGTCAATTTTAATCGATAAAGGTTTTGCAAAAACTTTTAGTGAATAATTACTTTTAAAAATGAGTTTAGATGACAGATGAAATAGAGGTATTTCATCTGTCATCACTGATTATGATCAGTCAATTTTAATCGATAAATATTTTGCAATTTGTTTTTTTTTGAACTTATCTTAATTTTCATTATTATGGCTCATCCTATTTCGATACTGCTTAGGTATCGGATAAAGTAATCAGATCAAAATTCTCGGATGATTTGTATTGATTATTAAATTATCATTGATTAATAAATTATCAAACACACCAAAGCAATCAATTTTCTGCTATCAAAAAAGAGATCCCTTAAGAATGTTAGAATATTGAAATGATTTTCAAGAAAAGTTGACATTACAAAGTTTCTCATCGAATTATATCAGATTATTTTTTCATTAGCATAATGATATTTATTAACAATTAATGATGATCGATATAAATTATGCTAAAGGTATGCAGATCTAAGGTATTAGGAAGATTTGCTTATTAAATAAGGCATTTACTAAAATAATTCAAGTGACAGTTACAACATTTATCATTGATCTTATCATGATGAATTTTAACAATTTATTTAAATCTTCATGATTTATCATTTCATCTTTTAATTGTTTGGGATTTAATTAGTCAATTTATTCCAATTATTTCGTTAATAAAAATTGATTAATTTGATCAGCTGATTGTTAAAGAAATTTTAAAAATGAAAATTTCTCATATTTAAAATTAACCTGTTTTTCATATGCTATATTAAGGACATTTATGGTACCAACGATATTTGTATCGACGAATTTAACACGTTGTAAGCAAACTGATTGGATACGTGTCAAATAGTTAATTTCGGCATCAGTGCGTTCTTGAAATTTTGCTAATTTTAGCATAACATTTCGTGAACGTTTAGTAATTTTGGTAGATAATGAAGAAAATGTTTCACCAAACCTTTGTAATCTGAAAAAATTTTTAAATGATTTGTTAAACGAATCAAACATTATACATCAAAAATTAATGCCAACTTGTAAAAAGATTTCCAATATTTTTTATCACATACTCGACTGATAAATCATCTTCTTCATAATAATTTTTATGTACAAGATCCAAACCAAATGAATCTGCAAAATGTACGCTTTTTTGCCTTCTTAAATCTGTCTTGGAAGATACTCGTAACGCTGATCGTAGCGATTTTGAACGATTCCTTAACAATTATCACATTAGTAATTTTTTAAATTTTATCAATAATTTATAAAAAGTTATCAATTGATAGGTAGTAGAATTATTGATTAAAATTTAAAATTTTATAGTTTAAAGGACAAAAAAAAATTGGTGCTAAATTAGGATTAATTCGTTACAGTTTGTTGCATTTTGTGATAGTAGATTGCGTATTATCGTCGGATAAAAAATCAGAATAAGTCAATGAAGGAAGTGATGATTCATTGGATATCTGCAAATAAATAAACTTTTGCTAAACTCAAAATGTGAATCAAATTTTTAATTATAATCAGAAAGAAGAAAAAAGAAAGTAGAAATTATAAACTAGAAATTATCAATGAAATTTGTTCAATGAGAAGTGTGATAAAACTAACATCAAGTGTTTTGGTTATTTTATCTGCTTCATTGGTTGATGATGTCATTTGTAATTTTACTTCAAACAAATTATGATACTTAATTTTGTTGATGAATGATTGAAAAGTAGATTGATCAGGATATTGTTTAACATCAATAGCCACTGTAGACAAATCCATTGCCACTTTTTTACTATTCATAGTACTGTTCATAATTTTCTTTTTTATTTTAAATTATAGAATCATAATTTAAAATCAATAGGAAGCAATAAGTTTTGATAATTAATATTCTGTTTCTGAAAGAAAAAAAAAACAACATATAATCATCTTTTGTTTTTATCATTCAATTAAACAAAATTAATAAAAATTGTGAAATCGTTGAAGCAAAAAGAAAAAAAAGAAAAACGAAAGCGAACATTACATTTAGTTAGATATTAATAAATAAATGGCAAAACGAAATATAAATATAAATATTTTCAACTTAATAAAAGTTTAAAAGTGTCAACAAAAAATATTTTGAAAGAAAAAAAAAGCGATGATATCATCGTATTTATTTTAGTGTTACTACTATAATTATTGCGATACTTGAGGTTGTTAAGATTTTTAATTGATTAGATGCTTTTATTGTTTTTAGTCAAAAGATGCAGCTGTTGTGATGTTTACTTCCATTCAAAATACAATTATCCACCTTTTTTAGAACTAATATTTTGTTTGGAACATTCAATAATAATAAAAAAAACAAACTTTATTTCATATAGAATAAATATATTATCAATGGATTATATTTTTCATCTATTTTATTTTATTTATTTAGCTTTTCTTTTTGTTATTCCAATATATCATTATAATGGAAAGAAGGGAGGGTTATCTTATCAATATAACTGATAAAGCAATTAAAATTATCAACGGCATTAAATTCTTTCACTACGATTTTTTGCAATCTATCAACGTTCATATTAGCAAATTATAGCAGTAATAAATAAATAAATAAACGACAGATATATCTGTACATATAACTTTATATTATTATTGGTGATAAAAATAACAGTAAAAATTTATAGTAAAACAATTGATCATTAAGAATTGATCGGGAAAAAATGAAAATAAGGAAGGAAGAAAATGATAGCATACATTACAATAATGTTAAATCACTTAAATTAATGAGTTTCAAAAAAATTAAAAGTGTTAATCTCATTTTTCATTTCATTAAAAGCCACCGTTATTTTTAGCTTTTTTTCCATCTCTTTCACCCTCAATCAAATATTTTTCTCTTTTTTGTTTTCAAACCAATTTTTAAATTTGAAAAAAATTATTGAAATAAGCATCTGATCTAAGACTGATACTAATTATCCTTCAAACTACAACAAGCAGTTGCTATTGAAAAAAAATTTGTCACCCATAATTTTTTATTCTCGCTCTTTTACTCGTATATTCCACCTTAATTAAATGAATTTGAAAAATGAATGATTCATAAAGTTATTAATTTTAAACAAAAAAAATTAACTTACCTTAAAATGAATAAGGCATATCGAACAAGAATGAAGATCGAATATCGGAAATATTAATTTAACTTAATTCATTCCAAAAAAATCATTAAAATATTGAAATTTAAGTGATATTTCAAGATCATCATAAAGTTTGAAACTTAAATCCAATAATGATAAAACAAAAAGGATAAGATGAAAGTGGAAAATTTTCGATCAACTTAAAATGTTTATTTATGCCGATACCGAGCGAAGTGCAATAAGAAAAATAATTGGACTGTAGGAGAGAATGTAACATAAAACAATCTATCGAACACATTCCAATCACTATCTTAACAATTACAGGAAATTTTTCTTAATGTTGACAAAAGCGCTTAATTGCATTTCCTAATGTTTAAGATAATTTTTCATTTTAAAAATTACAGAGTTAAAACATTCGTTCGTCTTCAATGGACAGCTGTAGGTCTGTTTATATATTTATACACGTTTATATATGTGTGTTTGTCTGTGTGTGTGTGTGTGTTTTTAATAAATAGAAAAGTAGAAAAGCTCTCTTAACATATTTTTTACCTATTTATCAGTAACTCTATCAATTAACTAAGATGTCGTTAGAAAATGATTTAAGAACGGTTGCTGAAGTGGTTATCACAAAAAAACAATTCAATGATGTCAATTAACAGTGCAACAATTTTAAGTGGCAAAAAATTTATGAAAATAAATTGAAAAAAAAAGTGATATAACAAAATATTGTGAAGAATTCTTTATCGGTTTTTTTGTTTCCTCTAAAATTTATCTGAACCTCTTATCTTTTATCAATTATCATTTATCAATTTTATCTTTTTTCATATATGACACATTTTATCAACTTGATCTTTTCATAAATCACACACATTTTCCATCTAAATAATTAACAAAGTTTCATCTTTTTTTTTTCTTGTAAAATATTGATATTTTTATTTCCCAAATATAATGCAACAAATTTGAGGAAAAATTTTTTCATCGTATTTTTCTCTTTTCTACTTTTCTTTAATATTTTAATGCCAATTTTAATCGTTCAAATTTTATATCATATAATAATAAAATTATATATTATAATATATAATATTAATTGAAAGAGAGATAATAAGCAGAAAATATATAATATTAAATGTCTGTGATAACATAATGTTTACATTAAAAAAAGGCATACTGATAATTATCTGTTATATTTTTATATTTTTACACAATGGCACATTTTATGATACCTAATGGTACCTAATGGTACAAGAAAGATTCTTGTACACGGATGATTAATACGTTCTTTTTTTCATTTAGCATTCCTAGAACAATACAATTATTCATCGAATGCAAAATAATGTATCATGTGATGTATAATTGATGTGATAGACTTAATTTTACAATGGTAATTCTTAAATTATATTGTTATGATATAGCTTCTGATAATTTTACAATATTAAATTCAAACGATTAGTACAGGAGACAGTTATTTGATAATTAATGATAATTTGCAATTTTGTGAGTATTGCTAATATTATAACCAAATTTAGCAGTTTTTAATGCATTAAATGAGTTAAATTGAAATAATTAGGTTAAGATGTAAAATCTCTAAGATATAAAAATCATTATGTATCATGAATGATTTAAGTATGATGATCAGCTAATTTGCTGATAATAATATCAAAGCGCTACTCTATAGATATCGCCTCCTTTTTCTCTCTCCCTCCTCCTCTAACCCGATTTACCTTTCCATTAGATAGATCTTCGATAAATTGTTGTCGAAATATTCTTGACTTTTTTTCACTTTCAACTTTTCAGCTGCTTTCAATGAAAAAAACGTCATTTTTTAAAAAATGACGTTTTTTTTAAACTCAATAATTTTAGTGAAATTTTGAATTGATCCAACGACAGCTGTACAAATTATTTCCAGATTTTTTCTTACTTTTTACCTTTTAATTTTTTTAGTAATAGCGTATTTGTAAGTGCATATTTTATATAATCTATCATATTAATGCTTCGTACGTTTTTATTTATCAAAAAACGATTTCGAAATAATCAACTTGTTCATTGATACCGTTTAATCTATGCTGCTACGTTTAGATAAGAACTGATTAAGAAGTGATTAAACTTTTGGTCAGTCAAACATTTGTCGATAAAAATTTTTAATCGTTTATTTAATTATGTGATATATATTAAACAAAGACTTTAACATTATTCAAACTATTATAATTCATACTTTTACAATAAACAAAATGAAATTGCATTGGTAGTAGAAAGTTTTTTTAAAGGATTTTTTAATCAAATATTAAACAGTTAATTATTTATCACATTATTATATTTATTTAGAAATCATTTAAAGATGAAGGATAAAATTAAACCAATTATTCTTATCGTTGGCACAAAAAGTTTGCAATTTTGATGAACTGTCAACAAAAAAAAAAATGACGATTATTTTAATAATGATTGAAAGGTGTGGTTTGGTGGAAAATTCGCAACATTCATAAATTGTTTTAAAAAAAAATTTTTAAAAATGAAACAAAACAAAAAACAAACAATACATGTAAATTATTTTTATAGCAAAGTTTGTCGAAAAATGTGGAAAAAATTATCTTACTTTTTTCTCTTTTTGAAAATCAAAACCATAATATATTGACATCATTCTCATAAATGTTTGAAATTTGGTGAAATTAATTAAAATTTCCTAATTACCGGATGTTTATCTTTTAAGCTTAAATATTTCACTAAAACTTGCTTTTTTTTCTCTCTCCACTAATGAAAAGCTTATTTGAAAAACAATAAAAAGCAACAAAAAAAAAAAAACAAAAGAAAAACGAAAAGTAATTTGACCAGAAATTACTGATCAGAGTTCATCTTTTCCCGTATTTTCAGGATAAAAAATGATTCTATCAGTAGAAAAAAGAAAAAAAGAAGTTGTAAAAATTGTAATCGAACGAATAAATTTGAAATGGTAAAAATTGATTTCAAAATTGTCGAAAGTTCATTTATCACATACCTTTCTTTTTTTTGATAAAACTTTTCAGATATGAGGATTTCAACAAAAACTTTTCATAATCGTTTTTCTTTTTTGCTTGCACTCAGAAATTTTTCCTTTTTGAATTAATGCAATTTAAGGGAAAGATTTTATGGGGTAATAAATAATTCGTTGAAAATGGAGAATTTAATGATATGAAGTTGAATACTTGTGAGTAATTGAAGTTGAAAATGAATCATTCCACATGTTAAAGTTGAAAAATGAATCATCTCATATGTTAAAGTTGAAAAATGAAATCATCCCATATGTGATTAATGGATATTTTCTGAATCATAATTAATTCATGCAAAGTAGGTTTCAGTTGTTCACAGTTCCAAAAACTGAAGTTTACTTCTTCATAAGGTATGCCTGGTTTTTGATTGAACATTGAAATTTATAAATTAGTGTAATTAGTTTGTAAACAAAATGTTTTTGAATGAATTTATTTAACCTATATTATAATCTGGTGATTTCAAGTTTTCAACTTGCAGAAGGATACATTGTAAGTAATAATTAAATAAGGCAAATAGTTAAATAAGATAACTGCTTTGATGAAATCTCAAAAGGCGAATTGTACTTTCATTAGTAACCCCAATATTATAACTTTTAAAACAATTGGTTAACATTTTAATATTTTTCAAATAAGAAAATGAAATCCTTTATGCAACAACATTATTTAAATTCATACCTTTTGATGCCTAAGATTTAGTATTATTTGAGAATTGAAAGTATTTTAAAAAATTTATAAAATTCGCTAAAAAAGTGCTTTCGTGACAGTTGTGAGAAGCAATTAATGTACAATATGGAAATTAATATTGAATAATACTTTGGAGATTAATTTAAACTATATTACTGATAAATTATTGATAAAATTAAAATTTTTGAAATTAAAAATTTACAGCTTTTTATGATTTATGGATTGTATTTGTTGATGTTATTAATGTAGCAATAAGATTTTTCTCAAACTTCATTATAATTAATCATCTGTTAGCTCTATCTCTCAGATAATAAACAAATTATATCAATAAAATTTTTAGGAAAAAAAAGGAAAGTGAATTATATTTAACATATTTTGAAAATGATATTAAAAATTACTGCTTTATCTCGAGTTCATCATTTGATGTTACAACAAATATCACAATATTTAATAATAAATTTGAATTGATAATTTCAAAATTTATTTAATTGATTTAGAAGATTATCATCTTTGAATTCGAATTGAAAAATAATTTTAATTGATTTAGGAGATTATGATTTTCGAATAACGAGAAATTTCCGTTGTGGAAGCAATATGGAAGAAAAAGAAGCAATTATTATCATTATTTTTTTTTAAACTGATTAACTTTTCATATATTAAAGAGAATAGGAACGAAAAAACAGGCAATCAAAAAGAGATAAAAATAAATCGAAATTAAATGAATCGAAATTAATGGAAGCTAAATTGTTGATCAAGACGATAAACACAAATGTTAGTTTTGTTTTGTAATAAGATTTCAACATAATCATATCAAATACTTCCGTTTTGCTTTTTTTCAAAATTTTATTTTTCAAAAATGTAATCTAAAATTAAGCTACGATTACTTATTTGATATAACAATTATTGATTAATTTTTGGTAATTAACGAATTTTATAAAAATTAAATTTTGATGATGATTTGTTTTTTTTTTTTGTAACTAACTTGTTGTTTTGAAAACGAAAATCAAAATTTTATTTATTAACAAAATATTTTCACTTTTATTGTATTGTACATAAGTTCGATTTCATTGGACAATAAATGGAAGATCGAGTGGCCATTGATTTTGATAGCGATCTTTTTGATGTCGATGTTACATTTGCAGGTAAGTTTGCTGTCAAATCTTTACTAGATTTTAAAATTGAACGTAATGGTGCCGATTCTTTTCCATCTGTTTGTGGTACTGATTTCCGATTAGGACTATTGCAATTCTGTGATAATTTTCGATTTTTCATTTCCGTCGCTGTTTCAATCTTTATCGAGTTTCTAACATTGCTCTTCATATCTTAAATATACAATAAAATTTATCAATTTCTATCTTCTCGAAATTATCATTTCTAAAAGCTACACCTGCTACTAATTAATTTGAATAATTTAATAATAGTTGAAATATTTCATATTATTCAGCTTTTTCTAATATGATAAGAAAATATCTTTAAAATTTTGAATTCTAATCAAATGTATCACTTACTTTGTTTCGATCCCCGTTGAGAATAAGTAATGGATTTGTTACGTTCGCCTGAACCAACCATTTTATTTGGTATTATATTATGAAGACAAAGAATTGGTAATCGAGAGCAATCAGTAAGTTGTAGCAATATACGATTACAATCCATGGAAGTTATCTTAAAGTATCATGAAATACTAGTAATATTCATACTCGAAATCTTATTTTTTTTGTTCTATTTTACAATTGATGGCAAATTTACCCATTCGTAAATAAATATTTCAGATTTAAATAATCTATTATAATTTTGGAGTTATTAATAATTTTTTAAAATGCTAATTTTTAACATTTAAAAGTTTCAAGCTATAAAATCTTACAAGTTTTATAACAGTACTATGAGCATTAAAGGATGAAAGCAGCGTTTGATCTCTCATACTGTATGCTTCAATCCAACCAGTTGAGTTTGCTAAAACATGTGCATCATTATCTCAAATAATTGAAATCATACTGTAGAATTGATACAAAATCAAAGTTGGATATAAGTTATAAATGTACATGTATGCGCACATCTATGCACCGTTGCAAGTAACTAACATTGTGATCTAAGTGCAATAAGTTACATTGTGAAAAAAAAGAAATCCCATTTTATTATTTATTGAAATTTGATGAAAAAATTTTAATCGACTTCTTTTCCAATAAAATACTTGTGTAACCTGAGAGAATAACGTTTGTATCATTATTAATAGCTAATGCTGTCACAGGTGATTCCGTTTTCAATGTAAAAAGAGCATTTCCGGTAGTTGTTGACCAAACAATAATTTGTGAATCTTTCGCACCGCTAACAATTACACTTTCATCATTAGCAATAGCACAACACGTTACAGCCTCTTCATGTGCAAGAAGTACCTGTAAGAATCTATTGAACTGATAACTTATCAGTGTATTGTACGATATTTTTTCATTTTTTTTCTCAATTGATTTAAAGTTTTTGAAAAAATTAAAATTATTAATTTTTTTAAAAAGCTAATTTTATTAATGCATAATTAAAATACTGTTACATTTATTTCTTTTTTTTTTTATTTTTTTTGCTTCTGATTCATTGTATAAGTAAGTATCCATTTGTTATATTAAAAATAATTAATTAAATGATTGATAGAAACAGGAATAATTAAGGTTTCTACATTAAGTTTGTTTTGTTGCAAATAAAGTATCCCTTATTTAATTATGATCTACTCGTTTCTTTTCCTATAATTACAAAGAGATAATGAGAGCTGTTAGAGAATTACTTGATTAGTAAAAATATAAGATTATTATCAGTTTACCTGCATAAGAAAGCCACTATTGATTTCCCAAAGTTTCAAGGATAAATCGGTTGAACCGGTTACAAGTAATGTACCTTTTGATGAGATATTAAAGCATGTTATTTTTTCGTCATGAGAAATTTCCGCTTTCATTACAATAACTTCATCCTCAATAGTCCATATTCTCAGCCTGATAAAGTTTTAAATTAGGTGCTTTTCTTAAATTACTTTATATTTCTTTTAATACTTTCAAAAATTTAAACTTGTAATCGTTTTTTTTCATTTAAAGTTTTATTTACTTAGGATAATTATTAATTAGCTATTAATTGAAGCAATAATTGAATAGCAACGATTTTTCAATTTCATCATATGATAGCTAACAAATGAATAAATGTTGAAGAATTTTTTCGAAGGTAACCTTATATGATTCTAGTCAACAACAAAAATAGATAAAATATCATACAACAATGTCGAATGACTGATTTGTGTTACTTTTTCTTCTTACATTACAATTAAAAATTCATTCTTTTTCCCAAAACAATGAATTAATTAATCATTTGTTCAAAAATTTTCACTGTTTATTGATTTATTTTAATAACATTTATTTTGTAACAGAAAAATAAACAAAATTCGAAAATTTCTATTTTTTCCTTAAAATTAAAAAAATGATTTAACTTATTCAACAAAAAGCGAAATGAAGAAAAATTACTTTTTTTTACTAGTTGGATGATATCCGATCAGATGAATATTATTTGGTGATAGGAAAATTGGTGGTTGAACACCAGTGAATGCAAGAATTCGATCTGATTGAAATGATTCGTCAGTGCCGAATAAATTCCATATAAGCATAATGCTAGACTGATCAACAGATAATATTCGTAAGCCATCAGATAAGCAAAATATTGATTGGATAGCTTTGGTATGATGCTATAAAAATAAAATGAAAAAGAAAAATTGAACATTTCTTCATTTGATATTAAACTAAATTTCAATTCCAACCTCAAGCAATTTCACTTTTTCATAAGTTTAACTTTGTGAATTTATCCTTTCAAAATAATTTTCTTTTACTTTTGCTGAGTTAAATTTGAAGCTGTTATAGAAAAAGAAAATCGTAAATAAAATTTGTATGAAAATTATGGCATAAATAAATATAACTTAGCATACGGTAACAATTCGTCTCAATTTTCCGTTGCTTGTATTCCAAATATTAATTTGACCATCAGCATCACCACTTAACAAGTAAACTGAATTGACGGAAAATTTCACACAAAGTACTGGTACAGATCGTTTCTGAATCATCTAGAAAATAACAACATCGTTTTCTTTCTTTTAAATTTGAATTTTTAGCTAAATTTTAAGAAAAAAAAGGATTTTCCTTTTTCATTTTAATAATCTATTGCCGCCTATACAAAAAGTTAAAATTTATTTTTTAAAAAATTGTTTATGAAACGAACGGTACAAATGCATTGACATATTTCTAAATCCCATAATTCCACGACACCATCATTTGTTGTACTAGCAGCACTTTTCTCATCCGGTGACATGCATATATCAGTTACTACTTCTGCAAAATTGCCATAAATCGTAAAGAATTAAATCATTTTTTTTCAGATAGATTGTTTCAGATCAACTGGCAAGTTATTAATTTACACCCAGAGAGATTTGCTAAATTGGTTTATTTGTGGAGAAAAAAAATCGAAACACTTTTTTAAATTTTCTTTTTATGAATTAATTATTCAAATAACCTTTTTCACTTCTCGTACTTATTTCGTGATGTTGATGATGATGCTGACGTTGAATATTCCAAATACTGATCCGATTACCGCATGCTGACATCAAGAAATAATTATCATTCGTAATCTGAAAATTTTATTTCGAATGGTGTGAAATTTGAAAAATTATTATGATCGGGTGACCTTTTTTGTAATTTCAACTTATTCCATTATTGATTTGATTATTGTGAAATGAATGAAATAGCTGAATACAAAAAGATACTTTAAGCGATGTAACCGGTTGTTTATTAATACAATTCAAGATTTCCAACAGTTTTCCATCGTGTATATCATAAACATAAATTTTTGCAAATGTTGCAACAAAAAGTTGACAATCATCATATGCTGCAACCATTGAAAGAATTTTTCCATCATGACCGGATAATTCATGTAATTCTTGACCGGATACTGTTCCGAATACTTTTAACGTTTCATCTTCACAAGCAACTATCACAAATGCATCGTTGCTGAAAAAAAATAGCGTTTTGATTTGATTTAAAAATTATGTTTAAATAAGAATGAGATGAATAAATCGATCCTGTTTCGTCAAAATTTCAAATTCTTATAACGGATATACCAGATTATGGCAAATTTGTTAAATATTCAAATTTTTTATGCTTATTCAAAAAAAGAAAGGAAGAAGAAATGATATTTAAGAATCTAAAAAATTTTACCTGGTCATTGTAATGCATGATACTGGTGCCATCAGACCAGCCAATCGTACAGCCAATTCACCAGTTGATAAATTCCAAACTGTAACGACAAATCCACCGGATCCTGGAATTATTAATTAAAACTGATGTATAAATTACTAATGGTTTATATGTCAAACTTTTCTTATATGTCTTACAGCATACCGGTAACCAGAAATTCGTCATTTGATGAAAGCGCTAATGAAACAACAGCTCCTGCATGTTCTTTGAAAGATTTAACAACTTCCCAATTTTCCATCGAAATCACCTGAAATATTACTTAGGATATTTCTAATTAGATATTTAATGTTTAAAGTTCAAATCATCTTATTATAGTGTTCGAATGACTTGTGAAAATGCTCACATTAGCGCATGAATCGGTATCACCAATGATAATATATTTGCAATCAGAAGTTATCAGTGAGCAAATTACTGGACCTTGTAATTTTATCACATGTGTTGCTTTATCCTGCAATTAATTATTGACTTTTTAATTGATTTGAAATAATTGTTGTTATTGACCCTGATTTAATTATTCTTTTCATATGCTGCAAATTTACTGAATAAACGAATTAACCGAAAAATGCCGGTTTCCAATATATCGTTGCAATAGTTATCATTTTGCAAATTATAATAATACATCATTTTTTGGCAAATAATGAAGAAAGAAAAACTCTATAACAATAAATAAAAATTTGCTAATTATTAATGATATAATAACATTAACCATTGAAAAATTCCAAATCCTAACAGTACAATCTGTTGATGTTGTTGCAAAAAATGCTCCATCATGGCTAATAGATATTGATGTAACACGTCTGTCATGACCTGAAATAATTTTTTCCTTCCCTTTAATAACATATATATTATATTTTTTCATAATTTGAAGCATTAATAAAAACTTATTTCAATAATTCTTCCTATTGTTCATTTAATAAATATTTAATTCAGAATTATTCATTTTTTTGTGATCAATTAAAAAAAATGAACAATATGTATAATTAAGTAAAATTAGAAATTATTGTATTTAAAATCTTCAACATACCCTTAAATGTACGAATTAATAATTGTGTTGTAATATGATACATACATATTGAACCAATAGTTGATTCGTTTCCAGCAACTAGTAAATGTTGATGATTGCATGTTGGCTGTATGATTGTATATGATGGACGCCATTCTGATAACGTAAATGATAAAACCTTAAAATTATTATAAATTTTATTTGTAAAAAAGTAATTCAAACAAAATTGATCAATCTTAGGTTTATTCTATTTTGATTAGCATTTATAAAAATGGATCTATTTGATTTCTAATTAACACACCAGTTCCACTTTCTTTGGTGGTACCCAATAAGTTAAAGGTGCTAATAAAGGCTGATCACGATATCTGTCAACCCATGATATCGCTTGTTCTGCCATTGTATTCAAAAATCGACTATTTGTTGCTGTAAAAAAAACATTCACATTTTATTATTCATTTAATTATGCAACTTATTACTACTACAGCATATCCGTCAAAAAATATGCTTCAGTAATTTTACCATATTTGTACTCTTTCCAATTCTTTTTATTTTCATGAATTAAAATCTAATAATTATTGTCATCTTAATTGAAGTAATAATAATGATAGCAATAATTAATAGTAGTAATATTAAATAGCAATAATATTAATGATAATAATAATAATAGTGCTATCAGTAACAATACTGATAATAAAGTTGTAAATTTTTTTGTACGAATAATCAGAAGTTAACCCCGTGTATACTGTAATTTGTTAATCACTTCAGCAGCCAACTGATTTGAATCACGTATAATTGTGTTTAATGAAGGAAATATAACTTGTTGGAATAGCGCCTAAATAAAATAGATAAATCGAGATAATAAAAGAACAAATCAGCTTTCTCTCTCTCTTTTTTATAAATACTAAGAATTTAGCCTGCAAATACGAAAAGATATGTTAAGTGAAAAGATTGTGATAATTGCAAGAAGAGAATTGATAGAAAAGATATTAATAATAAGACTAATGAGAATAGATGTATGACAGTGCTTAACTTTTATCGCTAGATCCTAGTTTAGGCTTATGAGCTAAGCCAAGCCAAGCCTGAGCTCATAATAATCTTTCCTATTCTTACGAGTTTTTTACGCCTTCTTTGCTTCTGTCATCTTTCTTCTCGTAATATTTAAGTTTCTTGCATAGACACATCCTATTTTCTTCTTTTCCTCTTTTTTTTGTCTATTTCTAATCCATCGAATTGTTTAAATCTTTTAAGATACATACCACTTATCAATTTATCAATACATTTTAACCTGATAATTTATTGATAATCTAATGCAATACTTACAAATAATCCATGATACTTACAAGAATATCATAATGAAGTATTTGCATGCAGCATTCTTCATAAATACTTAGCAAATGGAAAATTCCGCATGCACGAACACACGCTTCAACGTAATCGAAATGACAAAGAGCGAATCTTTTCAAATCATCCATTTTACCTAATTAAATTTTAATATCAAAATTATAAAATATTCATCATGGATAAATGCAACAAAAATAATATTACTTTCAGCTAAAATTTGAAATTACTTCTTTTCAATTTTCAATTAATTTCAAAAAACAAAACATTGAAAAAAGTGATGCTTTGTAAGATTATTTAAGCATTCGACAAAAAAAAAAATGAAATAATTTACCGGTATGGAGTAGATGATACCATAGATTATGCACTTTTCGTATGTTTACCGTGCCATCATCCTGTTTCAATGGTCGTGGAAATGTTGGAATATCATTTGTTGTTTGTAGCAATGAACAGATCGAATGAGTATTGTTAATATCGGCAAATAAATGAGCAATTAATCCATGAACTTTTATCAAATCCTTAAAATGATATAAATTAATGATAATTATCACACACCAATGTATAATCATCAAGTTTACAAATGACAAAATCATTTTAGCAAATTTCATCATTAAACTAATAAAATTTACAAAAAAAAAAAACTTTCTTCTCAAAAATCATTCATTTTAATTTATGCAAAATAGACCTGATTAGTCAAATAACGACGACGAGCTATATTTATAATAAATAAATGACTCCATTTGTAAACAAGGCGATTTCCATAAACAAATTCAACAATAAGACATCCTAAAATTTTACTTTTAAATAGGCAAAAGAAATTATACATTGTGAAATCTCAACATGTAATATTAAAAACAAAGTATTATAAGTTGATTTTTTCACAGTTTGTGGGAAATATGTGAGTGAGACACGTTACCGCAAGATTCAAACCTTAATTATCAAAATTGTAGATGATAACTGATCAGTTTCCACTATATCAGACAAACAAAATGGATGGGAAAAACGAAGAAAAATGATCGAACAAATATATATATAAACCGAGTTTATCAATAATTGAATGAAGTAGTAGTGATAATGGCGAATTCGTAGTAGTTTCACCAGTCATTTGATCGCTCATTCTTAATGCATCCAAAATTTCCAACGTGGTAAGCCCATGTGGTGTAGCTATTAAAAGTTGCGCAAATTTTCGTACAAACAAAAAACCATTATCACTTTCAGCATGACAAAAACTTTTATCAATATCATCAACGAATGGACGATTAGTTTCATCAATAATTTGTTTTAGTAATAATTGAGCAATAACAATATTATTGTTATTGGCTTCTATCTGGAAATAAATATTAATCATGAATTTTATCAATTTTCTGATTAATTATCAAAATTAAAAATAAATCAAAAAGCAAGAATAAAGTTCAAATATGAAATCTTTCAAATTAAAAATTACGACAAAGATTTAAACACATACAATATTCTGAATTTCATCAGTTTGTTGCTTATTTAATGTATTGTCCTCGATATTTAAATTAATATATTGCATGATGTCAGCGGTTGTAAAATCCGGTAATTCAAACAGTTCAGGTTGTTGAAGCATAAATTGCACTGTTATCGGATGATCTGTTGTACAAATTAAAACAAGATTATCTAAACATTTTCGGAATTGCTGATCTAAATTACTCATCATTCGTCCATATTTGATCACATTAGCATCATCGATTAATACAAATACTGGTCGATTTAACTTTTCCAGCAATGATTTCAATATGTCAAGTGTTGATGATAAATGACATGATGTTATCAATGGTTCTGCATATTGACCCATTAGGGTGCATAATGTCATATATACTCCATGCCATAATTCATGAGCATATTGTGATCCAGATGTTAAATTAATAAATCTTAAAATGACAAATGTTATAGAAGAAATTTCTTAAAACGAATTTAATTGATTTAAAATTTTTCACATCAAAAATTTTTTCAAAATTTCAACAACGATAATTGCTTATTCAAAATATTAACTTTAAACTATAATTTAAATAAAATAATCTGTTATTTTATTGATGTAAAAACAAAAATTTTTTTCTATGATTTCGTACCTGATAATAACATAATGACCTTTGCTAATTAATAACGCATGTAATCGGCATAGAAGAGCAGTCCTTCCAGAAGTTTGATTTCCTAGAATTTGAAAGTGTCCTTTGCTTTTATTGATCCAAATATCAAACATCTTATCGATATTCTCTCGGAATAGCCATCTTTTCGGTAATTGTCGCTCAGCAAATGCAAGATGTACATCATTTTCAATTTTTGCTAGAGAATATGCTTCAATTGATGGCATTGGTGGAATGCTTAATGTTGAAACGTAGTTTTGCAAATGATCTATTATCTAAAAGTATAAATGATAAATGATTTGATAAAAATTGAGAAAAAAACAATTGTCATAAAATGATGCAAAATATTCTACAAAATTACTTAATCTTTTTATTTTTCAATTAATCACTTTTAATTGCACAAAAATCTAATTAACTGATAAACACTTCATGTGATAAACAATTTATTTTCAAACTTTTATGATTTTATATTTTCGATTTCGATTATGCAAAAAAAAAAATAACCTGTTTTGTGAATAATTTAATAGAATTATCATTTCCACCCTTATTTGTATTCTTATTTGATTCCATATTTAGTGAAATTATTGATGCATTACTTAGTAGAACTGTTTTCTTCAATGCTTCAATTTTTTCATCTCTTTGCTCATTTTCCATTTTAATTGGTTCCGTAGCATCTGTAGTATTTGTTGGCTGTATATCGGCTAAAAATATTAAACACATTTCATCCATTAATTAATTGTTAAGATTAAAATCTTGTTGAAAAATAAGCAATTATAATAACCTTCTTTATTTCGTAAACAGAATAATACTTTGCTTGGTTGAATTAATGCAATTTGAACAATTTGTTCTGTAGCAGATGGAAAAAGATTTTTCGACGCTTTTGTTTGTTCTTGTTGCTTATTATTATCATCTTGTGATATCTGAAATAAGATATCATTATTGATTTCATTTCTTGCGTAAAAAATTGTTCGATCAATTATTTATTAGAATTCAATAGATGATTGCAATTTTTTTTTAACTATTTCAAAAATTTCCAAACAGATGTTTGAAAATTGATTGGATCAAAACAAAAAAAAAAAAACTTGAAAACCTTTTCAGCAGCTTGTTGTAAAATCGATGCAAGCGTATTTTTATCAGATAAATTAATAGGCACATCCAAAAGCTTATAATCCATTGATTTTATTTCTTCACATTGCTTGTAATATCGATAAAATAACTCAAGTTCTATAAAAAGAGCTCTCTATTTTATCATTATAAAAATGAACTCCTGAATTTTACCATCAATTTGATGCAAATTTTTTTGAATCATTTAAACTGATACATATATATATATATATATATATATAGTATTATTTTAAATCGTAAAATCCAAAATTGCACCTAAAACATACCATTACTTGTTTCCGCAAATGTCGCTTTGATTGCTTGAAATTTTTCCATTGGTATTTTCTTCGGTAAAATACATTTTCCATATCGATCACCCACAAAGCACTTTAAAATATTAAATTAATTAATGTAATTATATATTTCAATGTTTAACTCAAAAAAAAGATTAAATTTCTTCAAGTAAATTTTTCCAGTCATTTAACATGAAGCTTACAACACCAACCACAAGATATGATGTACTCTCCATGAATACATTGAGTACAGCTTGGAAAGTTTCCATATCCAAGCTATCAGTAACTGGTCCCACAAATTCCACATCAATACCAAGTTGCAAAGCGTGATGTTGTATATTTATTGCAACATCTTTCACTATTGCTTTATATTCTCGTTTAAATTCTGATGAAAATGAAATTGCTGCAGAATTTTATAAAACTAAAGTTTCATGAAATTATTGAAAAATTATTAGTACTAATTATAGAAAAATAAAAAAATTATAATCCTAAATTTGGCAAAAAATTCAGGCCCAATTATTTAATGCACCAAAAATTTTGTTATACTATTAACTAAATTTTCTGAAAGATTTATGATCTTAAACTATTATTAAACCATACAATTTAATCCAACCTGGTTCTTAAGCTAATCATCCAATGGATAACTTAATAGTTATAAATTTAAGTTATACTTATTCGTGTATTTGTAATTTAATTTCATTTGAATTACGATAAGTATGCATCGGATAAAAAGAAAACAAAACGTAAATTCATAAAATATACCTTCCAAAGAAGAAAAAAAAATTATGATACGAGATTGTTGCAGAGTTTCTGCGGAATATTTCGTTTGCTGCGGTTGTTTATCATTGATGCCATTTTTTTGATGCATATAAGTGACCCCGGATGCAGCCTTGAGACGAAACATGAAAGCTATTGATAATCACCACCATATACTTCAACTAATTTCATCACTGTAGTGACCTTGATATCCATAAAAAAAGAAGAGGAAAAATGAAAAATAACTTTTTTTCAAGTTTTATTACGAACTCTAATTTAAAACAAAGAAGAGGAAAATGAAAAATGAAATAGCTTCTTTACAATTTATTATGAACCTAATTGTTCGATATATTATTATATTATGTTAATTAAACTAAAATATATTAAATGGACAATAAAACTAACATTCACTTATTTAATGATTATTTCTTATTAATTGAAAAAATTAAAAATTATCAATCAATCGTTGGAAAAAAAAAATTAATATTGCAAGAAAAAATTTCTTCTCAAAAAAACTAAACGATAAATTAATGACAGCCTGTATTTTACGTATTACATAATTGGCTAATCTTTCTGCTTTTTTCCTTACGAATTAAACAATTATCCATTTTAAACCAATTTTCAAAATATCTATAGGAAGATATTAAGCTAAATGTAAAATTAGCATCTAATTAATGTTGGAATTCTTTTTTTAAAAAAAAAACAATAGAACAAAATTTTTATGAACAAATATTGCAATAATATAAAGTTATATGACCGTATCTATTATCAATCCTTGTATCCTCTAAACCGTATCTATTATCAATCGTTGTGATATTGTTATTATCATCTCTTTATCATATAAATAAATATATCAATAGATTTATTCATAACATCTATAGTTAAAAAGAAGAAGTTATTAATTGCAATGTTCGCATAGTTTTCTCATTTTTTAAATTTTATTATGAATTTTAATTTTTAAAAACAGAAGAACAAAATGATTTAAATGATTTACTTTTTTCAAATTTTGGAAAATCTTGAAAGAATAAATTTTGCAAAAAAAATTATTCGATTATTGTATATTTTGATATATTTATCATTGAAAGATAATTATTTTCTAATCATTAAGTAAATTAATTAATTAATTTTTTCAAAATTCTATTCTTTTTTTTTTCTTTCGCATGCTTCTTTCCTATTTTTTATATTTTCTTGTTTTCATTTAAATTTTCATCATTCAGCTCTTTGTTTTTCCTTTATAAAAAAAAAAAAAACAAAAGAAAAATTAAATAATTAAAAATAAAGTAAACAAAATGTGAAGGTTAAAAAAAAAACAACAACAACAACAACAATATTCTAATTTAGATTTCTTCCTTCATCATTTTTCAACAGAGTTATTTTTAATCATTGAGGAAGAAGGATAAAAATTGCTTCAATCATTCGTTCTTTCTTCATCTCTTTTCTCAATTTTATCTATTACAATATACCTTTAAGTATTCGTGCTCTTTAACAGTGTAATAATAAAGTTAACGCAGCTGTCAAAATTTTTACAGACTTTCTACTTCAAACTTCAAAATGCTTAGCTGCCTTCTAGCTGCTTTTTATCAATTCGCACTATTCTTCTTCTATTTCTTCTATTTCCTTTTCAAGTAAGCTAATCATTTCCTTTCTTCTGTTTTTCCTTTCGCTCTTCCGATTCTTTCATTCCGATTATGTCGAATTTTCAATCAGTCTTTTCTTCGATTTCAATTTATTCGTCACTAATTCCACCAACTGAAGTTTTAGTTAAATTTTAGATGATAATCATTTTTAATCATTACCTATTATGCTTTAAAATAAGTGACAATGAGTGATATTGATTAACTGTTAATTTATATTTAAATATTACAAGTTTATAAAATATTTTTATCTTATTGTTTATGCAAGAATGAGTTTTTTAAATTAAATTAACTAAAAAAAAATTTTGTTTTTGAGATTTTTTCAAAATGATAGCGAAACATTTCTTCCTAAATTCATCTTTGTAAAAGTGATATACTGTCTTGTTGTCATTATTATTATTATTATTATTATTATTATTATCATTATTAAATGTTAGCTTAGGCTTATATGCGTTCTATATCATTCGTCGTATGAATCTAATTGCTGGTTTAGTAAAAATAATTTGAAGAAGCTGTCATTATCATTGTAAAATTTAATGACTTAGTTTTTCACTTATTAGTGTCACAAAAAAAAAAAAAAAAAAACTGATAGATTTCAAAAATTAAATAATGTTGAAATTTCAAATTTTATACTCCTTGTTTGTTACTAATTATCTCACATGCATTTATCGCATAAATTAATTTAAAATACAATCTAAAAATTAAATTACGCATTATACAATTTCTTGCTACAAAAAGTTAAAATTTAATTTTGAAATATTTTATAAGCTGATAAAATCAGTTTAAAAATAATTGAAAATGAAAAAGCAATTAAGGTATATTTAAATTAACTTATTCCTTCCTATTTCATCGGTGAACTAAATAAATTTAATGAATTTCCTTTCATATTTTTATATGTTAACTATAGTAGAAGTAAAAAAGAAAAAGAAAGCAAAATTCTGCTATAATAATTATTCCGCACCAAAAACAAAACAACTTCTGTCAACCCATTCAGGAGATCAATCATTGAAAATACATTTATTATTTCATTTTTGAAGAATAAAATTCTTCACCATTTTCTCTTCCGTAAAAAAATTGATCAAATTTTTTTTAAGTATGTTGAAAAGTATCCGTTCAACATTTCCGGTAATTTTTTCGTTTTGTTTTTCTTTTTTATGCAAAATTAGAATTATATCATTTGGAATTATTGACGAAAATTTCCAACAAAAATGTATTATTTTATTTCAAATTTCGTTATTTTCAATTAAATAAACATAAATATTTGCATTATTTCATCATTGCTAATTGAAATTTTAGAACAATCGAAGAATTTATTCAAAAAAATTTTATTTTTTGCTTTTAATTTTTTAATTAAATGAATTTGATAACTAAAACTTTCGATTATTTTCTTGTGAAATAGATAAAAGATCGGGAAAAATTTTTTCAGCCTTTTTCCTTCTTTTATTGAATGAAACAAAAAATACGAAAAAAGAATGAAAGCTAATTAGGCGAATATTTTAAATAGAACTCAAAATTGTGCGATTACACAAATTAGTTATGCATAAATGATTTCAAATTTTACAAATCATTTTAAATTAGTAGGATTAATAGTTTCGTAAAAGAGATTATATATATATATATATAATTCTGCAATTTTAATATAGAGGGAAACCAGAATGGCAAAAAATTGGAAATGCTGAACGCTGTACAACGAACAATTGCTGCTTGCACAATCCGAAAGTGCAAACGGATACCTCATCATCCGCTAATTTCAATACAGCTGAACATTTTCAAGCCACCGATAAAAACACCAATAATATCAAAACGGAAGTTAGCTGGCGAGGAAATAAACGAACAACAACAACAACAACAACAACAACAGCAACAACATCAAATTATCAAATGTCTCAAAAAATGAATTCATATCAACAGTTAAGCAAACAGTATGCTAACAAAATGGCACGAACGTTTCAAAATTTGTGTAACGCTTTTTACAGTATCCTGGAACGTATTAGTACTATTATAATGCATTTCATCGTATGGCTTTATTCGATTATCTACGAATGTCTTGTTAGGTTAGGAACTTCAATAAAAATTTCTGGAACTCCAACAGGAAGTATTCATAACCAGAAACAATTCCAAAAAACTATTGTTGAAACAACTAGTGAAAAAATTCAAGCAGAATTACAACAACGTAATAACCAACAAGAACAACAGCAACAACAACAACTACTACAACAATCTTTTTCAACAGGTGCTTTTATTGCCACATTTCATTTAAATTTCTTGAATTTTTAATATCTCTATTTATTATCAAAATTTAAAGAAAAAAATGAAAGATAAATTTTTCGAAAATTTTGATGAAAATTTTTTGTTTCCCAAATAGAAATTAAGAGTAAAAATTCGAATTTAATGCAAAATTTGAACAGATTATGTAAAATTTTAAATTTTCAAATTTTTAAAATTTGCTAAAATGAAATTTTTGAGAAAAAACAAAAGACTTTGATATGAATTTCAAAGAATTTCAGTTGCCTAGATGACACTAAAAATTTTAGTGTTTCAATTTAGAATTACTTTCCTCAAAAATTTTTTATAAGCAATCAATTATCCAACCGATAGAACTTCATTTTAGAAAACAAATCCATACGAATGATTTTAACAAGCCTACTTTAGGAGATCCAGATGTTTCTGTTTCAGTGTTACCCCAGGCGCCATTATTACCACCTGTTTCTCTACCGGCTTTTAAATTATCAACATCGGCAACAAATACAAAAGATGTTGAGAAAGTTTGTCCTTCAACTCCACTATATCATCATAAATTATTAATTTATTAATTTCATTGCTTATTTAGTCTAATATTTAAATAATTCTCTTCAATTATCCCGAGAATGAATTAGGCGTATCATCTAACGTATCACCTAAATTTCTTAAACTTGAAGACCTATCGTATAAAATTATCTAAATATTACAATAAGGTAAAATGATTAAATCAGATACTTAAAAATGAATTAAAATTTATTTCTTTTTAAATTTTAAAATTTTCATAAATTTTACAAAGATTAAATTACTTTATGAGAAAATTACCTGGCAAAAAAGTTACAGGTACCACCAAAAGGTGGTGTTGCTGTTTTGCCACTTGATATTATGGCTGAAGCTCATGCTCGAATCAAAGAGCGTGAACAAAAAACCCAATCACAAGAGGTAAACTTATGCTTCCTAAATTTATGTATTTCTATGAATTTTTCATATATTCCTATGAAACTGAGGTCTTAGGTGAAATATAATCCTCTTAGGTCACTTTATCTCGTCTTAAATTTTTATCAATTAATCCCAAATTCGTTAATCATCATCTATTATGTGAAAATACTTAACAAATTGTTATCATTATGATCCAAGAATAAAATGATACTTTCTTAACGATTTATCATATATAATTTAATTGTAGAATAACGAGATGAATACAGAATGGACAGTGACAAGTAAAAGATTTATACCAGTCAAATGGCCAGCGTCAAAGATAGAAGATAGATTGATAGTCGAGGATAAAGCAAATGAAGATGGTGAATCATTGAAGTCAGCAAGAAAGAATATTGTTTCCAGGATAAGTCGATCATCTGATCAGGATGCTCAATTTATTTTCCGTGCACCCACGCATCACAATATATTGTATGTGTTATGCTATTATTGGCAAAATTTGAAGCATATGATTTGTTATTGTGAAAATTTTATGAATAAAAGAGGAATAATTATTTAAAATTGTTCTATTTGTAAGAATTTCAGATCAAATCGATTATCGGATGGTAATTTTTTGATGGGTAGAAGTGTTTTTACGCCAGTACGAGAAGCGGAAGAGATGCGTGATAGAGTAAATCAACGGATGACAGAGACTCCTTCGGAAAATTTCTTCGGTTCACGCTTAAATACTCCTTTAGATGATTTTTCTACTGCATCACGCATAAATACGCCATTCGAAGCAACCGCGAACTCACATATAACTTCATATTCAAGTTATCCAGCTAGTCGTTCACGTTCACAATCTCGAATTCGTACTGTCTTCTCACCTCCGCCTATTAACCAAATACATTCTCCGAGGTAAATTTATTATTAGCTATTAAATTTACTTATCTAATTTCTTAATAAATTTGTCAAATGCTTTACTTCAAAGATTTTGAAATACAAAGGGATGGTAAATAATATTTTCAAATTTACTCATTCATAAGAGTTCAATTCTTTTGCAAAAATTTTCTAGCATATTTTGTCTGAAAGAGAGATAAAAGAAAATTGAAGTTTATCTATTCACTTCATAACATCCTTAGTTGAATTTCGAACAATATTTTATTAATTATGATTAATTAATATATCCTCTAGTTGTTAAAATTGAATGTGAATTTTACGAATGGATTGATTCAATTTTAAATCTTATTATCTATACTTTATGCTCAAATGAATCTTTAGGAAAGATGAAACCGGAATAAATATGTTAAGACAACGTTCCAGAACCGTGGAACCTCGATTAGCAGAGGGTACCGTAAGAGCTTTTACTAGGTAAATACCTTTTTTTCGAGAGAGAAAATATTGAAATATCATATCAAATGATAAACCGTACACTGCGAATCTAATCAATAAAACGAAGATTAAAAAAAAAAAGACAATAAACTTTCTTTAATTTATAATATCCGACGTATTTGAATATGCTAGAAAACATTGCAATGCAATTTCTTCCCTTTAAAATTTATTGTTAGTAAACTAAAATGCAATAAATGGAATAATATTAATAATAATAATAATAATAATAATAATAATAATATGCTTAATGAAACACTTTTAGTTTTTCAATGAATAAAAAATTATGAAATAGAAAGGAAAAGTTCGGATTAAATTCAAACAATTTTAATAGAAAGAAAGAATGAATGTGTTATTGTTCCATAAATTAGTAACAGAATAAATTTTCTAAACGTTTAAAAAGCAATAATAATTAATAATAATAATAAATAATAATAAATAATAACAACAACAATAATAATAATAATAATAATAATAATAATAATAATAATAATAATAATAATAATAATAATAATGGAATTGTATATTTTATTTTATTTTTTATTTTGAAAGATCGTACAACAAATGATGAAATTCATAAAATCAAAAAGTTCGGATACTATAAATAACTGTAAATATCTGTATGCTTTGTCGATTCTTGTCAAAAAAAATTATGATATTAAAAAATTTGAATCGTAAAATAAAGAAAATATTATATTAATGAGAAAAAAAAGGCATCAGTTTAGAAATAATTCCAACTTAGTTAAGGTTGAAATTTTTTAGAAAATAATTTGAATTAATTCTCGATGATACGAAAAGAGCATTTTATTTCTTTCAGAAAAACTAATGATGTAATATGATTGAAATCTTCTTTTGTCTGAAAATTTCATAGTTCCTTATGTATCACGCGATAATTATCCAAAGATACGTGAAGGAAATTTGAAAATGAGAAAAAGATAATTTGTTTCTCTCGTTTTTTCTTTTTGATTTAGATTTAAAGAAAAATTAATTAAACTTTTTATTTCATTGAAATAAAGAAATGAAAGAGAGAAATTTGTTCATCTACGAATAGCATATAATGAAAATTTTTCCTAAATTAGTTCTGATATTTTGAAAATTCAGAAGTTAGCGCAAAAAATTTGACCTCATATTGGCCGGTAATTAGTTCTGATGTTTTGAAAATTCAGAAGTTAGCGCAGAAAATTTGACCTCATATTGATCGGTAATTAGTTCCAATATTTTGCAAATTCAGAAGTTAGCGCAAAAAATTTGATCTCATATTGGTTGGTAATTCATAAAAATTTATGATAAAATTACAAGATAAATTAAATAAAATAACTTAGTCGTTGCTATCGAAAGTAAAATATATTTTAGAACGAATTATCATTTCCAATTTCATGTCATAGTTAAAAATAATATCTAATTAAAAATTACGAAAAAAAAAATGAAATTAAAAGGTGTTTTTTGCAAGTTCAATTTTACCTTCCCTTAATTTTTTAATTGCTTGAAAAGAAAACTAACAAACTTGGCTTCTTTCAACAAATTTACTCTATGAAATGAATTAGTAAAAAAATGGTTAATTTTAGACAATGGCCACCTCAAAGTAATGCAACTGGTGTATTTGTAGCTAAAGATAATTGGAATATTATTCCAACTGAAATCATTTCATGTCGCAGTAAGTATTTTTCTTAAATATATTTTATATCATTATTCTATTATCAAATATTTTAAATTATTAGAATTTGAAATTTAACAAAAAGAGAAAAAAATTCTAAAAATAGAATAAGCAAAATTCCATTACATTCATTTCCTTAAAAATTCATTTCTTATTAATTCTGAACTTCTTCATTTGAATATTTTAACTGAATCGGATATGCATAAATGTGTTTCTTAATCATCACTAATTAATAGCAATTAGAAACTTTAATTTAGGAAAAAAATTGTCTAACATATTCTCATGTACATTTATTTCATCAGAATGAATTAAGACAATTTTCATGAAACATTTTAAATTGGATAACGAATTAACATTGATGTACGTCAATAATTTTATAATTGTTACTTCAATTAATAATGATTCTATATTTTATTTTTGTGGGAAATGAAGAAAATAAGAATTGCAATTTCATTCCATCGATAAGTTTTCTTCTGATTGATCGATCAAATATTTAAGAAATTCTTCTTTTCATCTGATTTTATTTTACTTCCACTTATCCTACGAAAATAATAAATGATCCAGTTCTAAAATGAATAATATCACAAATTTTTCAAAATATATTCATTTATTTGTTTTTATATAGCCGTTTCTTTTTTTTTTTTTACTAATAAATAATTTATTTATTGTCGCATCGAAGTAAGAAGTATATGATAAAATTGATAGCAACTAATAATTGTGATAATGAATGATAAGAAGTGATTATGTAAATATATTCTATTAATGTTAATTAGAGTGCTAATGAATGAAATATTTTATTAGAGGAATTGTTTCGCTAAATTTCTTTATCTTTTTAATATTTATTTTGCATAAAAATAACTATTATCGCTTTTTTTTTTCGCTTTAATTTAAATGAATGAATGATATTTTTAATAATAACAGAATTTTTGAATTATGTCATTTAGTTTATTGTTTCAAATTTAAACTTAAGAAAGTTTAATTTGTTTTTAATTTAACAAACAATAGTAGTATGAATGATTAATATCGGTAAATGAAATAGGAAATGGAATAGAATGAAAGAAGCAGAAAGGAAAGTTAAAAAGTATTAATAATATGAGATGTCTCCAATGCGACTTATCCGATTAACCACGCTTTAAAAGTCTAACTAGAGCGTATGAAAAAAAAAAAAAGTAGAAAGGAAATTTTGAGATCAAATAAACTAAGTAATTCACTCTACTCCATTTTCATTTATTGTTTATTAATGGCTGTCGTTACCATCGTTACCAATTGACAGCAACAAAAGTAATCAAAGATATTAATTGTAATAGAAATTAAAGTTTTATAGCATTATTATCATTTATTTATGACTATTACATTTATAATATTATTTGCTAGTGATTAAAGTTGATCAAAAATTACTATTGTAGGAGTAATGGAAAAAAGTGTGACAGATAAATGGACAACACGTGATAAAAAAGGTGATATAGTGGATGAATGGTCAATGAGAAGTTCGAAAGGTGAAACTGATGAATTACGACACCATGATGATGGAACCGGTGAAACATGGCATCGTAAAGTTGAGATATCACCAGAAGGCAAATTATCTTTCGTTGACAACAGGCGCTTTTATACGAGGGATTATGTTGTCGAGGTAAATTCGATGTATTAGTTGGCAATTTCTGAATACTGATGACCTCAATTACAATTCTAATTTCTCGATACAATTAGATTTTGATGTTTGATCGTTAATTGCTGCATGATGTTTGATCGCTCTATGGTTCCGTAAAAGATATATTTCAGTAATTTAGGCTTTTTTAACTAGCATATTTGAACCACTGAATCTTTTCAAAAAGCATCCGATGTAACATTCAAAATGCAAAGTTTGAAAAACTTAATTTCCTTTTTTTCAGACTGAAATTCGCAATGCGTAAGTGCAACGATAGTATTCAATGTATTCATCCTGAAATTCTTCTTTGAATTGAAAAAAATGACTTTTCTGCTTAAATGAACTGTTGAAGAATTGTGGAAGAAAAATCAAAAGAAAAAAACCGCAATTATAATAAAAATAAGTTTTTAGAAAATACCCGTTTCATCGCCTCAATGAAATTCTTATCATTTGAAACTATTTAAATGAATAACAATATCTTCAACTTTCTTAAAATTAAAACTACCAATAAAAAGAATTCATCCCATTAATATAACCAACATTTAACTCTTCCATTCTGCTTCCAATTCCTTTTGTTTATATTTATCGTAAACATTCTTTTCTTCTATACCATTTCCTTGTCCTGCTATTATTTCTTACCATACTTTATATTTTATTTTCATCTGCTGCTTAATTCCTTTTTACGCTTAGTTCTGAACACAATAAACACCAATTCCAAAACTAAATTCGTTCATTTCCTAATTTCCCAAAAGACGTTCTGTAATCCGTACACAGTATGCACTCTTACTCAAGTTCATAACTTTTTTTCTCGATGTGTTTGAGAATCTTAGTTTGCATATTCCAAAACTATATTTCGTATACTCCCCAAAATTCAACATTATAATCTGCATTCTTCGTTCATACATAAAGGTAGCTAAAAATGGTCATCGAAACAATATAAGGTGTGAAGTAAATTGCTATCTGCTCAACTTACCGAAAAAAAAGAAATGAAGAATTAATTTCCGTGTCGAGATTGAACAGTAAAAAAGAACACTTTGTTTTTAATTTCAACAAATGGTTTTTAGAGATGAGGCATGAGCTGCAACAAAAAAAAGAATATTTATACGACAGACACACCTCTAAAAAACATCATCCAATAAAATGACAACATCCAACAAAATGATAATATTCGACAAAATATTACATTCTCAAAAAACCAAATTAAAAGTTTTGAAATTCATATCGACAAATCAAAACGAAAATAATTTCACAAAAGAACAAATAATCAACGAAAAACGCAAAAAAGTTCAAAAGCGTTAAACGAAGAGTATTAACGCAATCCATTAAATAACAGCTAAGAAAAACAAAAACAATAAAGGGGAAAATCTTGGACAAAAATTCAACAATTCAAGACTCAAAAAGTTAACATATAGTGGGAAACATCTCTGTTGGAGCATGAGAACAATTCCCGTTCAATGACGTCGAGATTCCGCGTAATATCCTGAAAAATTAGTGAGTAAGTTCAGCTAAAATGAACAATCCTTCAACATTTTTCAATTACAGAAATATCTCCGGAGTTGGAAATCTGCAACTATTTGAGCCTCTTCATAAGTCTATCCAATCATTTCAAATTCCAGCATTTGTGGTTTTCTCAGCAGAGAGTGTGGTATTTTATTAAATCTCTTACACAAATAAAGTTTGTACGTACCGCCAAAAAATGGCTGATCATCCGGTTCCGATGGCGAATTTTGGAAATAGTAATATCCACGCGGCATGAAATTACCATAGCGACGAACAGCCTGATTTTGTCGTCTGCCCTTCAAAAGATCAAGATTTCTTCTCGATACCGGTATATGAGCGTCCATACCATGTTCTTGATGGATTACGGTCCAACATTCAACACAATAGTATAGCAAACATGGGAACTCAGCGCACAAATAAACACCAACAGCTTCATAGCATATATCACACAACATATTGTCGAGCACATATGGTCTCATTTCCAACTAAATGTTACATTTGTTAGAAAAATTCGAATATACTGTTGAATGCTTTTGTATCTCCCTAGATATTTCTTCTGCATGGAGTAACTCCATTAAGAAGCTTTGTGCATAGTGAAAGTATAGCAGAAGGGAATGAATAATCAGCAACACTGCTCATAACAGCCATTTACTCCATTATTTTCAAAACTGATGTTTGCTGATACCTAATAAACAGAAGTAGAAGTTTCAAGAAAATTTACAGTTCTTCGCTCTTTAAGTGTGAATAATGTGAAACGGCGCATTGCGATGGCTACAAGGAACGCTTCACGAGTCCCGAAAACCACTCGTGCTGATCCTCTTGGATACTTGGTATCACGTTCCACTTCCAGAGTCACTTCAACTACACTGTTAACCACCTGTTGGAAGAGCTGCGCCAATTCCACTATAAGTTCAATTAGATCTGCTAACATTCATACAATGTGCAATTAATACCACAGGAATAATTACAAACAATGCACGGTTTCTTGATATTTATAAATACTTCAACTTTAGCATCTTAGCATAACATCTTCCAAATAAAAAGAAAGGAAAAACTACTAACTCGCAGTCACTGTGCGCGGGATACCACCAACAAAAATAGAGTACCGATTAATAAGTGGTGAAGCAACCATCAGAGTACATCTCAAAAGGTTCAAATTCCAAGGTCTCACTTGCACCTGTTATTATAATATATTTTATTAAAAAAGAAACTCCAACATCTGTCCTTAAATCAATTATGGACAACTCATCGATCATTTAGCTACATTTAGAAAAATCGGAAATTTAAAATTCTTCAGTCGTACAACCTAACCCCACAAGTACCACTTGTAAGATGACGAACATTTGCTTCATAATTTTCTTTTAAAATAATTCATATCTTTTTGACGGTATTGCTTCATTAGAAGTAAGTGCAAAAATCTTGTGTTTCCCGCCCAAATACTAATTTCATAAAGCGCAGACCCGACAAAATTCATGATCACCCTCCTTGTACAATAAAATTATTATACCGAAAAAGCCATAATTTTGCATCATTTCTATTAATGAAACGGGAAACAATTTTCCCAAGCATATTAAACCTCCTGTTGAAGTAGGAGCTGCATATTGCAAAGTGCTATATTTTTGATTTTGACTTGGATTAGACAATCAGCCACCAACATTTATAAATAGGAGGGGACATCAACAAGTAATGAAGTGTTTTACAATTGATTATGAAGAATACTTCATTAATGCCATGAAATTGCGATATAGTACCAAAATTTCGCTTTGAAAATTTTGAAGGAAAAAGTGGATAAGGGAATTTTGAGTATTCTATGAAGTTAAACAAAATGATAAAAGCTAGAAACACATTACGATCAACTAAAGAAATTTAAAAAATGAGTTAACAGGTTTGTGAATTCAACTGCAGCAACAGGAAGAGCAGAAAGAGAACTCTTCCAGTTCTATTGACCAAGTACCATCAGTATTTCAATTTTGATTTCTTAGCGTCTACATAAAAAGAGTGAATATCTCCACCTCATCAAAGGCTCGGTTATCATTTGTTTTAAGCTGCTTAAATTGATAGTACATCCCTCCTTAACTTCTATTATTGTTACACAGCACAGATATTCTTTTAGACGCATGACTGCAACTGCTGTATGAATACCTACCTCGTGTCGATCCATGCTTGGTTGGGTTATTGCTGACCATCGCTTTGATGTTTCTTATTAGCAAAGCGAAATAGAAAGGACTATGGATCGGAATGAGTGAATCAGAAAGTTCAGAAATGAATCAGAAAGTTTGAGGAAAGCCATACCCAAAACATTCATCAGGAGAAAGTATAATTGTACGTAACATCACAGATTAGTCTCCGGCATCAATATGAACTGAGGGCAAATCTTCATTTATCTGATCACGGTATTAAGAATTCTGGTCCTAATTTTTTTGCAGTTGAGCTCTTATAACACTACAATTTCGACATCAATCTTTTAGACACTAGAAGTCTCGAGCGATATTTATGATCATATATCTTTTCGTTTTTCATCGTGTGCTATTAACTTGTATGCACAATGTAATCTGCAAGTGATACATAAAAAATCCTACTCCCTACCACTTTTTTGATACTCGTCAGCATCAAACAGAGCTAAATTCACAGCAAGGAATATGATTGTATCTCATTCTTCCTAGAAGCAAATCGCGACTATAGGGAAAAACGATCTAGAGCAACTGCTTGAAGTCATTTGCTATAGAACTTTATCTTTGGAGGTCTCATGGAATCAGTATGGTTGAAAAAACAAATTTTGCCGTATTAGTAGTCTGTTTAACAAATATTTTGAGCATGCTAATATTTGGGTAAAAAAATACGAAAGCTCAATACTGCAGTCATTTAGAGTATTTTTTATTTTTTTTGTACTGAAAAACGGATGTTATTGTTGATAAAAAAATGGGCACACCGATGATGATGCACCGCGATACAGAAAAATGTAATATTGAGTTAAAGTCTTAGTGACAGCAATAATGGCAAAAATATCAAATCCATTGAACTAACCGTTTTGATCTCCGTCTCACCGTTCTTCAAAGTGATAAGCAGTTTGCCTTGCTTCATCTCGCTCGCATTAACAAGTCGACGTACTGCATGCTCATGGTCGAATATGACGAATGCATATCCTGAAATATTTGTTCCAAAATTTGCTCGTTAGCTTATAGCGTATGTTTGTTATTCTATCAATCTTTCTTAACGCTAAGAAGAAACTCTCATAAATACAGCAATATAATTGATCCACATAATCATATCCACTCAACAGCTTTACCATATGAAAAGAAAAACGATGTAATGAAAACTGTATTATAAAATGAACCATTTGGTGGAGCCGTGATGTTACAGCACTCACGATGTGGCCAATCGACAATGTTCGCTCCAAATTGCTCGAAAAATATAGAGATTACATCTGGAAATGCAGTAGCTATCCATTAAAATTCGAAGTTATCGCGTGTAAAGCAAACAAAGGAATTTGACTGCTTTATATAACCAGCAAAAAATATGAGACGGTAAAAAAAAGGTAAAATTATCAGAGTCCTTTGCCTCCATCAATGTCGTAAGGAAGGCCACCGACGAACACTTTTCTGGAATACACGGGGAATTCACCAGATCGTACTTGCGTCATTCGTTCGAACGAATCGTCATCCCCATCTTCGACTTGCAGTATAGGTGTTTCTAAATTAGTCAAGACCCCGTGAAGTATTAGAACTGGAAGTGAAATATATTCTTTTATATTATCATGTAAAGAATGCAAAATTTACATCAGCTTTCCCTGCCTGTATTATCTAAGATGTTAAACGTTCGATATTATCTTACTCTGTTTGTGCCTTATCTTCACTAAAAATGGGTAAGTGTACTTAAAGATAGATGGTTCTACATCAACATCACTTATTCAGGAGGATTGGGCAATCCAAAATCGAAATATGCTGCAACGTGCATTCATATCTCAATCGTACTTAAAAGCAAATCTAAGGACCCCGCGATACTGGCGATCTCGAAAATTTCGTGACATTGTTCTGAGGGTTCATATCTTGTTTTTCATGAAATTCATTCCTAGAAAAAAAGGAAATGAATTCCGGTTACTGATTATTGCGTTACTCAAGTAATTACATATTATTTATTCCGATAACCAGATGCAATGTGATGGTCGTAGTTCTTCAATTACAAAATTCTCAACATCAATATTATCATTTATCAACAATGTTATCCAAATTTGGCACCCGGGAAGTCTTATCAGTCTTTAACTTATAATTCTACTGAAACTGTAATTTCCCTTTTCTTTATGATTCAAGTTGATCATCACTATCAAAATAACTAATTAATTGACCAAACAGAAAAAAAACAGTACCCTGCTCATACACTGGTATGTTTTGTTCAGACATCGCAAGAGTTTTTGGTAGAAAAGCGTTTGCGTAGGTAAAGCGATAAGTGCCGAGAGAAGATTCTACAAAATCAAATGCTATAACTTAGGAAAAATCTTGAGAGATGTCAAGCGTAAGGAACACACTACCCATCCACATAGAAACGAACGTATTGCACGCCACAGTACACAATATCACGCTACAAACCCTACTACCTCCTCCCCCCTAAAACAACCACTCGTCACCCAGCACTCCTAAAACAATGGAAGCCAACCACTTCCCGCTCCCTATTTATAGGCAAGTCCTCTCAGCTAATCATGACTTTCCAGAAAGTTCCATGCCATCCAAGAATTGTTGGTATTTGCACGTAGACCTGTCATCCCATCCCATCCATTCCAATTTTCCTCACTCAAAATACATGGTTAACTAACAAATACGTGCATTTTGGATCTTTTCCCTTCCACATAAGGTAGCGGACATGTGGTCATCGATAGCTGTGAATGTGGACACTGTAAGACGAAAAATTAGATGACATGCACTTACTGTGATGCACCTCCGTCCGCTCAGGGTGCAAGATCACACTCACCCTGTTGAAGAGGAGGAAACAACAGAAACTCGTTCAGTTTGGGAAGTCCGGGAAGCGAGAATTTATCAGGCTCGTCACAGCTCCCAAGTCCGACTTGACCGACAACCAAGGTCTTCTGGATCTAACCCGACTCGAAGATTCAATTGCATGATTCAACTCAATTCACTTTTAACCTCTTCCGGACCCCGCATAATATCTCCCATCGATTATGGGAAAATTTTCCTTTCTCCTTTCCTTCCAAATTTTGCTCAAACATTTCACCACTGGTAGGATTTCATTTAAGACAATAATCAAAGTTACCATGTCATAAAAACAACACATGTCAGTAACGACACCGGAAAGTTTATTTTCATTAACCACAAAGTCAAATACTCGAAAATTATATCGATTAAAAAGTGAAAATGTTGTTTCACATGTGTATGAGATTAAATGGATTGAGTAAGCAAAAAAAGAACCCGATGAGGCTGTTTTGTCAAATCTTCAATGAATTTATCCAGAGTAGAAGGCCCGAGAAATTCCCAGTTAAGTCCGTTCACAAGGGGTAAAGGACTACATAGAAGAGAAACCAAGGAAGCGGTACAGAGGAGTCAGACAAGTGCAAATTTTTGCAAATCTTTAATATGAAAATTATTCCTTTACAAAAATTTAGCAGCAATTTCACCGTACATTAATCGCAGTATTAATATTGATGAGAGACAACACTTGAAATTTTTCCTGGGAAAAATTCTTGGAAATCAATTCGCTTTTCCAGTCAGACCGTTATGGAACGTATGAGATTCCGAACCACCATGTCCATAACCCTTCGGTCCAAAAAGTGCTCCATAACAGTGGTTGCAGTACGGCTTGCCTTGGCGCTGAAAGAAAGGAGCAGTAAGGATTCTGTAACAAACAATACGATGTCAAGTTAAACTTAACAAGAAAATCAAACAAAAATTTCCAATTAAAAACTTCCAATTATCCAACGATGACCTTTATTTAACTGCATTTTTTGCATGGATCAATAAACGGAACAATTCCCGAAATTTTTCATTGCTCGAACAAAAAAAAACCCTCCCGTTTTTTCTGTTTATTTGACCTTCCACATCATTATTTTAATCTAACGCTATATTTTTCCTGTTTTGAACGTTCATCCCAACTCTCTCATAATCTTATTTTTAAAATTCCAATTACCATCCTCTCTTTCTTTTCTTTCTGCTCCAACTATTGGATATTGTAACGACTGCCTGACATGCTTTCAGCTTTCAATTCTAACCTAATTATCACCTTCCAATTAAATCAACCTTGGGGCTCTTACTTAACTAACAAGTTTCGAAGCACGACATAGAAGTAAAGCAAACAAGCAGCAGTGCCGATTAAAACCCCTACAAACCTCAAAAATTTCATGCAACAGTACAACAATAGAAATTAAACACAACAACAATATACTCTTTGTTTTTCAAAGCATTGCATTTGACGTTATTCTGCAACATAGAATGTAACGACGACGTCCACTCAGAGTAGGAGGGATTCTTTCGAATCGCAGGACAGGGTCGTTTGTCAGACGAACATCAATGATATCAAAACAAGAATACCTAAATTCTTTTCCTATCTGGTACTAGGATTACCTTTTAAGTCGGAAAGGGCATTTTGAGATGAATCTGAACAACAACTAACGAACTAATAAAGTTAATGTAACGAAAATGTAAGAAATAACGCAGTTCAGTCTCAGAATCCCCGAAATTAGCAAGGACACTAATTAAAGTGTTCTTAACAAAAGTAAATGTAATAGCGCGACAAGTCAATAAATAAACAGGTAAAGAAGCAATCTTTGCAAACCACGTGATGCATAAATTTCACAAATTTACGAAAAAAGCTCGCTAGATGGGACAAAAAACAAATTGCCTAGGAAACCGAGCTTGGAAGAGAAAAATGAACACCGGAAATTTCAAAAAAATGAAAAAGTTTGTAAAGAATTAGTAGATATACCTCGGAATGGTTACCAGCTGTTAGCGTCTTTCGGCAATTTTCATTTTCGCAGCGCAAGCATGGGCGATGCCAATCCTTCCCAATCGATGTGACACGCTCAGCTGAAACGATTCATTTCTCTGTCTTTTTGAATACACGAACTTGAAACAATAATCCACTAACCAGATCTAATCCCAATTTAAATATTGTTGTCTGACATAAATCAAGGTTACGGAGCTCTAAGAAACTATCATTCTCGAAAATTAGACCTGATATAATTTATCCGACGGAAAGGTCTGTTCAAAGAATTAACCATAAAAGAAGAGAAAAAAAAAGGAGAAACAGCACATCGAAAAATACAAATATTAAGAATACTTCCACCCGAAATCTCTTATGATTCCATCACTCCTATGACATATATAAATTAAAAGAAACTAAACAATTTGTGTTACATGATTTCTTATCTAATCATTATTAAATCAATTAACAAAAATGAAAGAAAACCATAATCTTACCGAAGTATACAGGTTTGTTGCAGCCTGGACAATTCGGCATTTTCGACACTCTAATCGAGAATACTTTTATATACACGCTAGAAATCTACATCAATTACATTAATTATAATGATTAAATCAATTTTGATACAATAAAAGAAACCTACGTAACCTCGAACGTTACCAGGAAAGAAACCGCCGGATACGAATGCTGTTACTAGAACGACTGTGGTAAAAATGGCAACTAACAGAAGAAAGAGGAGGAGGTAATAGGGATAGGGATGGAGATGGGGATGAGGATGGGGATGGGGATGGGGATAGGGATGGTGATGGGGAGGGGGAAGGGGAAGGGGAAGGGGAAATGGAAGGGTAAGGAGAAGGGGAATGGGAAGGGTAAGGGAGAACGGGATATGAGAGGAACAAAAAACAGCAACATGGATGAGAAAGTCAAGGAAGAAAAAAGGAAAAAAAATTATTGATTTTTCTACTTATATGGGAGATAGGTCAGCAGTCAATAAAAATCAAAACTGTAGAGAATTTTACCTTACCTTTACCTTCCAATTCTTTGTTACTTATTAAGGGATGGGATATAACAATCTCTTTTTATTCTGTTATTTACAAATAAAATTCTAAACGAATGTTTATATTTCAAAGAATTTATTGTGTTACATATAACAAAAGAAATAAAGAATAAAAGGGAGAAAAATTTTTTTTTTTCTTTTTAAAATAATTAAAGCAAAGGTAATTAAAAAGGTAAAGGTAAAGCAGGAAAAGATAAATTTAATCGAAATTTGTTGAGTGAAAATAAGATGAAATTGAAATGAAAGAAGAAGACGACGAACATACATACGGATAGTGCGTAGCAATCAGAAAATGGAGATGATAATATGAAGAAGGAAAAGGAAAAGGAGGAGGAAGAGGAGGAGAAAGGAGGGAAAAAAAAGGGAAAAATTGAAAAGTAACAACAACGATAGCTTTCTATGGAAGCATTTGGTTCTGTTATAGAATAGAAAAGTACGAACGAATTTAAACAGAATAGTATGGAATAGAATAGAATAGAATAGAATAGAAAAAAGGGAAGAAAAAAACAGAATACAATAAAATATAATGAAATTAAAATTTTGGAATGGAAAAAGAAGAAGAGAAAAAAATAAAACCGATTAAACATTGATTATAATGGAGAAATTTAATTTTAAAAAATAAACAAATTGAATTTCTTTTCCGGACTATATAGATTAGAATAGAACAGATGATGATGATGATGATGATGATGATGATGAAATATAAAACGACAGATTGACGGACTGTGAAATAGTGGCATCAAACGACAACAAATTTGACTGATCACTAATGACAAGGTATGACATACCATCAACCCACTAATCCACGAATGGGATATATACAACATACACACACACACACACACACACACATACACACACACACGCATGCATGCATGCATGCTATTCATATTATCCTTGTCATGTATTATATCATAAATCATTCACACGTATACATCAAAAAACAAACGAAAGTTATGATGTATAACAAAATTGTATACGACAGCAATAATATGTAATGTAACAAAAATTCCTATTATCATAATTGTTAACGAAAATGTTAAATGATATTATTCAATATCCTAATTTAATACGTGTAATTATTTTAAAAAAATTAATTAAGAAACAATTTTATTTTAGGAAAAAATCTATAGATGTGAACTATTAGAGTGAAAAATATATTAATTATTGTAACATAAATTTCCTAAATTACGTATAAAATGATAAAATCATTTATAACAAGCAATCAATTAATCAATCAATCAATCAATCAAATAATTGATCATTTCTCATTGACTAATAACATAGGTAAAATTCAACAGTGATAATGAATAAATTCGATAGAAAAAGAATAGTTAATTGTTGTTCCTGTCGATTTGCTAATCATGCAATTGCTAAAGAAGAAACAAAATAGATAAACAACTACCTCTCAATTAGATACGACTATTTACGATAGATTGACATATACGCTATATGTTGTGCATTTGGATGATATATGTCGATTGAAAATCATGAAAATCATCAAAGTAGAATAATAGAAATCTCGTTGTTTCCTCTTAATTTGATGCAAGTTTCATTAGATAATTTATCACAATAGATTAAATGATATTATCAAATAAGTGGTTTGATATTAATCAATAACAATGACAAATTATTTTATGATAAGAATGGAAGGAAAATAAATGTCAATTAATGATAAGAAAATAATGAAGTTAACATGTGATACTGATAACATTGCAACATGAAATCCAGAATATATAAGATAGAAATGTATCCAATGGATAGAAAAAGTGCAGATAGATATGTGCGCAAATTTTTGTGAAGTAAGCAATATAGCATGTATCACAGCAAAACTACACTATATTCTTTCCCACAGTATGCTTGTTCCACCGTACTCCCGGATGAATCAACGTAGGCGCCAGATCTCACGTTTCAAATTTTTGAACTCAACATAATCAAATCATATGAATAATTGAGGAAAGATAAAATAACAAAATGAGATAAACGTTAGAAAAATTTGAAGACAAGAAGAATGTGCTATTATTCAATAAAACAAAAGAAGCTATCAGAGATATAAACAATAGCATAAATAATTATATGAACAATGGAAAATACACATTCTTATTGTCTTCAAATTTATCTTTAAAGCTTTATTTTAGAGATAAATTTATTATCTAAAATCAAATTTACTAAAAGGTTTACGTT